CGGGGCCCCCCCCCCCCCCCCCCCCCCCCCCTTAATCCGGCCCTGGGTGAATGACATTGGAAGTGACCACCAGTTCATTTAACCACACGAAGCGGCGTTCCAGTTGCGATATGTCTCTGTGCAGTGTCGGGTTGAATTTCTTTGATTCCTTTTGACCTTCCTTTTCGGCTGCTGGCTCTCACTTCGTCCCGATGCCAAGGGGCTCCCAGCAAACGCCTCCCCTCTTCTTCATAGCTCGGTGTCTGGGCCACTCTGGCCCGTGGGCCCCGGTGCAGTCGCACCGCCTGCACATTCGGTAGCTACGCCACTGGAGGCAGAGTAGGCCCGGGCCTATCCTACTTCCATTAAGTATCCACTACTGAATTTACGAGCTGCCACTGCCAGAGACACGTATATTCTTCACCTGCAAATCAAATCAAACGGTCCACGTGCGGCTAATAGATGTCGCTTCGTAACCAGCAGGACCTTAGGGAGATTCTAAATATCTGCTCTTAAAATATTAGTGCTACACAGGGATGATTATTCGCTACTCATGGAGTCAATGAACTCATTCCAAAGAAAGTCGTCGTTGCGTGATTTCATGCGTTTGGATTGGACGCAACGCGGCTTCGTGGGACGGATTTTTTTTCCGATTATACTCTCGATACTTCGATGATACTCTTTTTCGCGATTCGACGCTGCGAGATTTAGTTTCATTATGGTTGCTATCTTTAATTCTGCTTGATTTCTGGAAATTCCATGTTTAACTATACGCGTTTCAACGCTTCGCTTTTTCGACATTGCTCTTATTACTCTTTTACGATCATATGTGACAGGTCTTTTCGATGAAAGTGGCTTCCACGATACGAGAGTCGACGCTACGCAGCACTCCCGACAAGATGATCCAAGGAAGTGGTTCACTGACACATCCCAGGCTATCACATTCAGGGGTATGTTCATGAGTGGTTCTCGTGTAATATACAAATATAATATTCTTATCTTACAAAGATGAGCAGCTCTGTTCTTCCAAGACTGAACTACACAGGTGTTCAAGAAATGTCAATTTGACCAGAAATACCTTCTTTCACAAATTAATTGCTTTTATTCCCAAGGGACGTGATTCAAAGTCATGACAGTCGTAGATGATTGAAAGCAGGTTGCACATGAGAGTATAACCAGATATAATCACCTTCGGCTTTGACAGTCTTCACTTTTTGAAAGATACTCTTCGTGTTATTTTCATACATGTCGCTGTCATTTGTGGCATCTTGGACATCCTTGAACATCCTTGAACCATTCATTTTGAGAAATTGCCCCTTTGCAACTTCCTGTTAATGGCATCCAAAATATTTTCTGTTGGGATGCAATCAAGAGAGTTTCCTTGCCAATCATGGATACTGATGCTTTCATGGAACCATAGTGTAACCCAGCGGTTCTCAAAACTAGGGGGGGGGGGGAAGAGGGTTCCAGGTGGGGCACGACAGGACTGTAACTTTTTCTGCTTTTGAACCTCTTTTGATGAGTATTTATAATAATGAAAAACTTTCCTAGTATTCTTTCCGCAGTATTTTTTTTTCTCACTAGCCAGTAAGTTTATTGCGCTTTTCAACTCATCTTGATGCGCATTTAAGAAAAACAACGCTTACACTCCGTTGGAAACTTTATTCATCCTCTCACCCGTGATGTCGTCAGACTAAAAAGGATTGGAGGGGTGAAGGAGCCTCCCTCCTTCCTCTCCCAGCCTACTTTGCAAGGGGGAGGGGGGAGCGCTCCTTCAGCTTTTTTTCCCGAAATACAATACTACATTTTGGTCTGCTTAATCCCCTAGCGCATATATAGAATCCTTTTCCATGCTGGTTCGCTTTCATCTGTTCTCCGATATCCTGAGTCACAATATTCCTGATGAGAATACGGTGGCTCTCACCTGCACTAAGGAAACTTTGATGCCGTTTTAGATTCTGCGTTTTACATTTTTTCTGTGCCGATGTGAGTGCTTAGTGTTGTGCTGGTACTTTGCTTTTGTTTTTAACTTATCCATCGAAAACCAAAGACGACCACATGGAGACGCAAAAGATCGCAGTCCTCCAGCTGGGACAAAAGTCCCAAAATTAGAAAATAGTCAGGACTATTTGGAACTTGGTTTCACCTCAACAGTTTTTGAATGATGAAGAGAGGTCGCGATACATCGAATGTTTTTCATTTTAGCTTTCGATAGCCTGAAGCCAAAGAATTTAAGGTGCCATCTTGAAACAAAGAATCGGGATTGCCTTGCTAAGTCTCAATAAATCTTTGAGCGAAAGCTGCTTGAATTAACGAGGCAGAATTCCACCATGACAAAGGCAGCTACTGTGCCCGCAAAAGCATTGCAAGCCTCATATGAAGTTTCTTACCGAATTGCGCAGTGTAGGAAGCCGCATACCATTCGTGAAAATTTGATTTTGCTCCATGCAGTTGGCATTTATCGAATAATCCTTGAGGCATCTGCGAAGCAATTTTGCAACATCTCTCTTTCAAATGATACTGTTGAGAGAGGAATCGGTGACATGGCTGAGGACATTTTTGACTAGCTGGTGAGTAGACTGAATGGTAGTCAATTCACTTTGCAGTTGGACGAAGCTACTGATTCAGTCAAGGATTCCCACTAAATTGCCTTTCTTCGCTACTCTTAGCAAAAAAAAAAAAACAGGGCTTGAGGACATTCTGTTGCTGAACTGTTCAAAATCATTGATTTTTGAAAATGCAAAAATTGGAATGGCGTTTTTGCTCTGGTTTATGCACAGACGGTGCTCAGTCGATGATAGGAAATAAAGAGGGGCTCCAGGCGTTGATGAAGAAAGTTCCTCGGATTCAATGGACTCACTGCATGCTTCGTCGGGAAACACTGGCATCTTGAGAAATGAGCCGAGATTTGGGTGAAGCTATGCAGGCAACCATCCAGATTGTGAACATAATCAAGTTGAATCCTCAGCAGGCGCGTTTCTTTGCTCTGTGTGCAGAAATGGGGGCTGAACGTGAGGTACTTCTACTGTGAGTACTTCAGTACTCACAGTACTTCAGAGAGTTTTTGAACTTCGAGAAGAGATGTGTATTTTTTTTTAGGAGTGTTATTAAGGAGCGCTTGTATTGTCAGATCCCAATTAATTGCTCAAGCTGGCTTACCTTGCTGATGTTTTTGAGGAGCTTAATGAGCTCAACTCGTCCCTTCAATACCCAAATACACACGTGATTCTGCTGAGTGATAAAATCGAAGCTTTCTCGAGGAAGCTCCATCTTTGAGGTGGAAGATGGTACCTTTGAGTTGTTCGCCGTGCTTCAAGTTTTTGCCGAAGAGAATGAGAATGACGTAAATCTGACGCAGTCTTGCATTATCGATCACGGCATTTTGGAACTTCAAAACCACTTTCATGGTATGGACATGAAGAAATTCTAATGAGTCAGCAATCCGTTTTGCAGCAACGCAGATCGAGCTTCTGGATTATGCACCAAAGATGAGGAACAACTGATCGAACTCTCCTGCAACAGTTCTCTCAGGAAATCCTTCCAAGAAAAATCCCTGCCAAATTTTTGGCTTAGTGTCGAGGAGGAATGCTGGTAACTCTCTGCCAAGGCTACGAGGATTCTGCTCACTTTTGCTTCATCTTACTCGTGTAAGACTGAGTTTTTTTTTGCCCTGGTTGCAATCAAGACAAAATATAAATCACGTATGGATGCTGAAAACGTATCTTCGTATCATCGCTTCGTATCGTCATTAATTTCATCGAGCCTCACTTAAATTAAATTTTTTTTTCCATGGCCCACGATATCGACTCGAACTGCGCGATCCTGTTTTTATTTTTTCTTTGATTCCATTACGAACATAATTTATTTAGCATTAGAAGAGAGCTGCATCCTTGTGTCCTCGTGTTGTTTTCTGGAGGAAAGGGGGGGGGGGACGCCTATGAGAAAAGTTTGAGAACCGCTGGTGTAATCACAAGTTCTCAGTGACATGGCACATAACCATGCTGAAAAATAACATGCGCTGTATCTTATACATTTATTGGATGCTAGGCAGGCTTGCGCTCTCAAAAATTTCACAAACTATTTTCATCTATGTTGCCTTTGACTCTGACTAGCATACCATGACACTGAACCGAAAAAAGAACCCCTAAGTGACATCACCTCTTCCGTGTTTCATAGTGGTTGGTGGGAATTCGAGGAAATATTCCTTCCAGGCTTTCGGTAGCATATTTCTGGTCTACCACTGACAAATTTATAGTGACTTTTAATTGCTGAAAAATACTTCTGCCCAATCGTCTTCTGTCGTTTGAGATGTGCTTTTGCCAGCTCCACTCGACACTTCTTGCCTTTTCCTAATACAGTACTCGTCAATTGGGAAGAAAGTACAGTAATATACATAAGTGGAGTGGAAGGGGTGGCAGTAGTCACCTCCAATCAGTTACACTTTGACAGAGGGATTCCTTAAATCATACACCAAATTTCATAACCTTGTTTTTTGGATATAAAGGATATGTTGCAAAAAGTAGAGCTTGCGATTTGTATGATTAGCTTTAGTTTCATCACACTATTCAAGGTTGTCACACAATACTGAAAATAATCTTTATTTCTTGTGATCACAAAATACTGAAAGTCAAGCAATGAAATTCTGAATATAGGACCACAAAGTATCACTTAGCTTGATACATCTAAAAACCATGGTAGAACATGGGAATTTCGAGATGCAGCCAAGTCTTGGTAATTATGAGTCGAAATCATCCAAGATGGCAGGAAGAACCTTCTTGTTGAGGCAAACAGAGATATGAGCTGACATTTCTGAGTTAGAGAAGACTACCATGCACACAGGGCAAGGATGCCGGTACTCCAAGATAAGGATTTCGGAATTTTCCTCCCCCTCTTTCTTTCCATTTTCTCCAGCTTCATGTTTGTCCAGGCAATCATCCAAATGCTGATTGATGTCCATGGAAGATGGCACCACCTCACTGCACACAGGGCACTGAACCGTTTTGGAAGTTGAAGATGTTGCTTCATCTCTATTGGCTGCAGAGGAAGACTGCTGATTCCTTGGAGAACTTAGCATCCCATCCAAATTCAGCTGCTTCATCTTCTTTTCTTCCCCTGACCCACCTCCAAGTACATGACCTGTACCAGAGAATGGGACAAAGACTTTTCCTGCAGGATGATTCACTTCTGCCTGAGGCTTCTTTGGACATTTATTGTCATTCCCAACCAGGACAGAGGCCTGAGTCCTGCCACCTTGGACTGCTGTGCCCCCTCCAACAGCCTTGTGAATCTTTCCTGTGAAACCAGCTTGGTTCCTTGGATGGTGAGATTCATTTGGATGCAAGAATGGGATTATGTTTCCCTCCTTTCCCCTAGAATCTGAAATTAATAAAATAACTTTTTTTTTTCAAGAATGAAGGTTTACTATTTTGAAAATAAATATTTTGGGGCATTGTACAATTAAAACTGAAAGTAAAAAAAAAAAAAAGGTCCCAATCACAAATATGCATGGTGTTGAGACAGAAACCAGACCTTTAGAACCCTCAAGAGGGTTAGTCTTTCTCTTCTTGGCTTTGGACTGGGAACGATCAGGTTCTTGAATTTTGATGAACTTGCCCCCACAGGTACGTTGGTGTTCAGCCCACCATAAATCATTTGGTCCAGGTGTTCGGTTCATGGCCCTACGCACTATGCCAAAATAAGGAGGCCTCTTCTGACATGGCCCATCACATTTCCACCAATGCTGCCTGTAGTAATTCACCTCATCATGAAATGTATGATAGACCTAGAAGCCAAGAAAAGTGGAATGCCATGGGCTGGCTGTCAGGAAGTCATTAACAAGAGGTCTGAGACATACCTGAAGCATGCTTACCAACCAAATGTAATGCCAGTCTACACTAGGGTGTCCAATGTTTAATGAGGATTTAAAGAAAAGGGGATTTCATGAATATGAAACATATACCTAGATAGATATAATAGAGCTTCCCCAAGAGAAAAAAAAAATAGTGGTGGAGGCCAGAAACAGCACGTATGTCCCCTCTCAGACTGAGCTCAAAGTCTGTCTGGCTTCTCTGGTGCTTCTTTGGACACAGAATGAATTATATGTGTCCTCCCTCCCCTTCCTCAAAAAGGAGGAAAGAGGGCTCAGGATCCTGCAGGATTTTCCTCTTTCAGAAGTGATATCCCACAATTTTTTTTTTAAGCTAAACTTACTTCTATTTAATAAATAAATAAATTAAACATTGAAAAATGTGACTTCTAAATTTGCTATAAGGGTTATTCCATATCAAATCAGCACCAAAAAAAAAATAAAAATTAGGGGTATGTTGGGAAAACAAATCATTCAGACCAAGTTTTGGCTACCTTGGTCAGCACTTTTGAGACATAGTGGATTGTATATTGTCAAAAAGTACCTATTTCTGGTTAGTGGATGGTTTTGCTATATTTCTCAAAGGAAAAAAGTACTAGTATTGAGACCCTCAAGGACTTTGTAAACACCCTATATGTACCAAAACCAAGCATTCAGTCAAATTTGTTTGAAACATAATCTGCACCTTGCATTTGACTTGCCAGAATATGGAAACACTATATTAATCATAAATTGGGTATGCTGGATTGAATATGGAAGTAGCCTTACAGTGATATTAAGACTGGTTTCCTTGTTGATGCGATACATGTGCTCATGGAAATTGGGACCATGACTGTCATGATCACGAATGTTCTGGGTCACAAACAGGTATGCATGGATCATCTCATGCTGCAAAGAAACAAGGGATTAAACTATTATTATTATTTCATCTCCATGGTTTCACTCTCACACTTGGCACACTTTGTCCATCATCCTCACTTTCTTGCTCATAAAGGCTTTGTTGCTATGCAGGTAATTGGTTATTTTACATCATATCTTCCTAGGTTGTTTGAAACGGAAATGTATTCCTCAGGAGCAGAAAGTGATGTCAAGATGGAGGTGCAGGGGGAAGTGAAAGAAACCACGAGGATCACACCATAAAGAATTTACAGGGTTTGCAGTCAACAACCCAATAATTTTAAACTTGAGCATTTCTGGGCTATTAATAGTAGAAGGAGAACAGCTCTCCCTCATTCTGCAATGAGAAAATATTAATGAGATTGATTCCTTATTATGCTTTCAATTGCCATCTGAGACCATGAGCTCTAATTTTTTGAGCATAAGAGAAGCAGTGGCTCAAAGAAAATGATCACAGGTGAAAAACTTGTTCAAAAGGCAAATATGTCAAGCAGAGCATTTTCTGGAATGCCAAAAGGTACTTTAATTGCTTTTAGTACCTTAGATTACCCTTTCCTGGCAATGTGTTCCATAGTTTTTTGTAGTAAAATCATGAACAAGACTATTCATTATTTTGAAACTTCCTTTAAACAGTTCACTAGGACAGAAGGATTTCATGTGTCTTGGCCAGGGAAAGGGACAAGGTGCGAAAGCATGACTCAAAGGTCATATGCATGTACCTCTGCTTCCATCCCTTATCAGTTTGTTTCCTATTCACCTGTGTTTCTCAGACTGTATTGTTTCTTTACAATACTAATTTATAGTGCATGGGAGGATAAAAGCCAATGCTTTGAATTTCAGCCTCATGAGGATATTCAGGAAGCAATCTCACGTGTCTGACTTTAACACTTTGGCTGCCATGATACATTTGGATACATTTTGCACATGTTGAGATTCTGTTTGGTAGCTAATGTGTTAACCCTTCAAGCAGTTTTCACGTACACTGTACATTCATCACTTGGGAGGTCAGGTCAAAACTCAGCGCTCGAAGGGTTAAGGCATGCAGGGTACTCATGCACCAAGTGATTAGCAGACAATGCACTCTGAGAACCAACCACCATGTTCAATTCTTCAGACAATGTCTAAAGGAGCACTGTAAATTCATAAGGAAGAAGTAATTAAATCCTGCTGAGAAATGGTCTTTATCATAAAAATGCTAATGGCAGCTGTAATTCAAATACAATGCAGGTATGTGCAGATCATCAGTTTGCATCTTGTACTGAAGCAAAGTTTCATCCCAGTGTGTGCCAAAAGTGAGACATTTAATTAGAGTTATTAATTGGAGGCAGCTCACAAGAAGGGTTTGGATGAGATCCACTCGAGGCCTCAACTTGAGAAGGGGAAGACTCAGCCGAACTGAGCAATAACCTGCTCTCCTTTCATACACACAGAGCCCTGCACACCTGCAGATGGAAAAGTTTCTGCATGGTTCATTTCTTATTTCTTGATGATTATACCAACATGCTAAAGCAATGACGAAAAATGTACAGTGTCATTTGAGGACTCCATTTCACTTCCACACCATTCAGTTGGCCCCAGAAGAACTGGTCATTGAACTGGAGGAACAAGGCATGGATATCTGGGTTGGGATCAATCAGTTCCCAGACAGTATCTCCCAATGATGGTGGCTTCTCAGACATTCTCAGTTCCTTCTGCTTCTTTGCCATTTCTTTCTTTTCTTGTGCATTGAATTCAGCTTGGAGCCGAAGAGCCAATGCTAGATCTTCATCATCCATCTGTACCCTGATCATTAAATACTCTGAGACCGGAAGAAGCAAAAGAATAGCTTATCAATGTAAATGTTTGCCTAATACAAGGGGTCCATGAGGTAATCTATGGGAAACTCTTTTCTTATTGAAACAGAAATAATCTACTTTTATCTTTGTAAACTATCCATAGGCCTGGAAATGTCATTTTCCCACATTCCACCTTGGTGGGACTAATAATTAATTTCTATGACATTTGATTAATGGGCACTAGCTTCTAAAAGATACTGGGAAGGTGGAAGATTGCACCTTTAAATAGTATAATTCTATGATTCAGAGGGCTGACTTTTAAGGTAGGTAAGTGACAAGTGGGAGAGGTGAGGAGGTGTGGATGCTGAGTGAAGAGAGGGTCTATGAGACTCAACAAGAATTCCAGCATTCAGTGCCTTAAAAATAACTGTTGCCTATTGCCTATCATCTAAGCACAGGTCCTGGAAATTATTGAAGACCAAGGGGGCCACTCAAGCCCCTGCACCCACCACTCCCACCTGTGCATACCCATACTAGGATAACCTGAAAAGAATGTTGATTTTTGCATTGGAAATGTTTTGCATGTTATTGTCAGACTTGGCACAGAAGGTTTGACAACCAAGATTAGGTACAAACTCCCCTTGGCACCCCACCCCACCATTGGGTCTTCATCATTGCCCACATCCCCTCATCCTTCCTCATCCTCATCTGCCCCATACCCTTACAATGTAATGGGGATAAATCCCCCAGTTGGTGCATTAAGGATGGGAAAATTATTTTTGACATATCTTCTGTAATACAGCATATATTTTTTCCCTCTCCAAATTACCATAATTTTTTTGTGCTTCAGTTAATTTGGTGGGCTGGAGCATGGGCATGCACCCCCTTGCCCCCAAAGGTTTGTCCTTGAATGAGTTTAAGAAAATCAACATGGTGCAACAGTCCTCCAGCCCTTCATTGGAACCCATGCAAATTTCTACTTCAAGCATATTGCTTAATTTGTAGAATAATTTCATATTCTAACATTAGGTAATAATTTCCACTGTTTAAATTTTCCTCAGAAATAGGAAGGCCCTGCAACTCTGAGAAATCACAAATCAGTCTGTAACTTCAAGAATGTAGAGAGGTTTCTCAATGCTCAGGATATTATTCTCAACAGAATAGCATATTTTTTCAGGTGATTAATCTATGCATACAGACATGAGCTTCATCAGAGAAATAAAGTTTGTCAAGGAAATACTCATATTTGCCAACTTGCTGCTAAATCCACCAGCAGCAATCACATCTTCTGGAGATCTGGGTGCAATGCCTGATCAACATGAATTTAGTACGGGTGCCAATAGAGGCACAAAAGTACCTTGTGTATTACAGATGCTGGATATCAATTCCAATGTGAATCTTCCTCAAGAACTTAATTGGGGAACACATTTACAACCACATCCAACATTTCTTCATCTTCAAGAGTGATGGCCACCCATAGTTCTTGTAGTCTCTCTTTAGGCAGAGTTGGACTAGATCAGCAAACTTCATGCTGGATGCATTTCATAAATGAATCTTCTTCCACTATTTCTGAACAGATTTGGTCTATTAAAAAAAAATTACAAATTATATTTTAAAATAATTTCTCAATTCCATAATAAATTTTTATGCCATTAAAATGGTCAAGGGACCAGTAACATCAAAGTAGGAGGGAAAATGAAACATCATTCTGAGGTCTACATGAACTAAATAACGGATTTCTTCAGGTTCAATAATAAAAAATGTTGCCTGTGGTCACCTTATGGACAAGGCAAGGAAAGATTTCCAAGAATATTCTAAGGTACAGCATTCAAATTTGAATGCTGTAGAAAAGAGAACAGGAATTAATTCCTGTTCTTGCTTGGGTGCTCTGGTCCTTCAGTCCTGGCTCCAATTACCATTGACACTGAGAATCAAATGTTGAAACTTTCAATTCCTCCCCTCCTCCCTGAGTACTCCCATTTAACCAGGTAAGTAGAAGTTTTTCATTATAAATTTGAAGACAATGAACCTTAGCAATTGCCATAAAATGTGCACATAGCACTAACAGACTGGCACGTGGCTGATTACCCAGGTAGCACACTCTGCTGGGATGCAGCTGAGAAAGAGCCGAGTGTGCAGCTGTGAGAAAGAGGAGAAAATCAGTAGAATCTCAAGTGGGAATGTCACATGTTGTGCAGCTGAGTAGCAGCAGAGAAAATAGAAGAGAAGCACTGCTGTAACTCAGTTGTGATCCAGCTGTGCTGGAAGCTAGTCTGCCCTGCTGCACTGTAACAGTGCATATGTTTCCAGCACAGCTGGATCACAGCTGAGTTACAGCAGTGCTTCTCCCTTATTTTCTATGCTGCTACTCAGCTGCAAGATGTGTGACATTCCTACTTAAGAATCCATTGACTTTCTCCTCTTTCCCACCTGTATCCCAGTAGAGTGTGCTACCTGGGACTTCCTCTTTCCTCCCCTGCAAGTAGAATGTTCCTTCTTCCCCTAGAAATGAAGACACAACAGTAAGAATCAATGTTTGTCATTGAGTTACAATAACTCTTTGTAAATAATGAGCAATAGAGCATGCAAGGGGATCTCATAAGGATGATAAGCTTGTTTATCGCCTGGGCTCCATGATTCTGTCTCAAATATGGGGATAAGAAATGATTAAGTTCCAATTTTATTAATTGTTATAATGAGACTAGGAAAGACATATGGTGAGGTACTAAATACTCCTGTGAGGGATGATTCCATGGAAAGAGGGAAGAGTACTTTTGTGTACTGTGGGAAAAGCGAGGCCTGGAGAACTTCTCCCTCCATCTGCCCATATTAGCTCAGATTTCCCATGAGTCAGAATTGCAAGTTTACCAATTTTCCAAACCTCTGCCTGGGTGTAACAAACAATTAAGTGAGCACAAGCACGACATACATCACTTAATTTCTCACAAAATTAACTTTAAATATACCTTTTGTCTCCCGAAGGTTCTAAAATTACCAAGTGTTGAGAATGCACTGCACCTAACGGAAGACACTGCAGGAAGCAATATGTAGTTTTTTATCTGAATGACCAATAGAATTCACCCCATGACATAACCCACACAGACCAACTCTTTCTTGGTCTTCCCTGGTTGGAATGCAGTTGCCTCACAACTGAGACACCCCAGTTGTATGCAAGCTGTTGAATAACAGCTGCACTTCAAAATGCATAATTGCCTTTATTACTGCTGGATAAAGACAGCAGGAAAACACTTGAGACTTTACTGAGCTTCCTCAGCTGACTTGTCTTGGCTCCTTCCCAGCTAAATCCTTGCTGGAAATAACCAGTTTTATGGCAGCTGATGAGATGCTGCTGTATCCCAGCTGCAGGACAGTAGGATTATATCCATATTGCTATTTTCTCACCTAGATGCATTAATCTCAGCAGGGACACAGCTGGGATTTAAGAGTTGTGTTCATTGGGTATGCTGCACATTCTTGGATAATCACGATAGGCTTTCTTGAAAGACTAGAAAAAAAAATTCCATTCACTAAGTTTCATTTCCAGTTTCCATTGCCAGTTTCACTGGCATCAGTGTAATATTAGGTTGACATTCTCAAAACATTCGGATATCCCTGCCAGCAAAAGGGTTAAAGACACATGCCTGGTTCCTACAAACAGAATCTATGATTGACAGGTGGGCATGCAATCATCACAAGCAGCTGCCATGTCTCCAGCATTCAGTAGCCTCTCTGATATTCTGTCCCTTCAACTTCATTTCTTCTCCATTGTGCAAACACTTGGCAATGACTCCATTTACATTCCACCTGGATTTTGCATTTTTTAATAATTACCTGTTTTTTTTAATAATCAGATGACAACTGAATATAAACAAACAAGACAAAGCTCCTTAACTGGTTATTGTATTGGGTGGCACAAAAGTTGCACCCCATGGGGATTTTGAATAATAATAATAATACATTATTTCTTTTTTGTTTATTATAGTAAATGTTCACATTTTTGGCCATTACCTTCAAAGCACTTTTAAAAATTAAAACCAAGCTCACCCTCTCATCTTGCATTAATTTTGCAGCCATCACTTACCTGGAAAGAAAAATATATAATTTCTCTATGGGGCATGACTTTTGCACCACCCTGTATAGGAGCACTAAATCCTATGCTACTTCTTACACAGTGCTAGATTTCCTGTTTCACTGTCAGAATGTAAAATATGCAAGGATACTTGATCCCAAAAGAGATTTCCACTCAAAATTAAAACCACCAGCCTTACACTGAATTGCAGGCCCAAAACAGGCTCTACAAAGCCATTTACCCACCCTTGGGTTGAACTTCCTCACAGCTCCTTCACTTTCTTTGTATGACTAAGAAAATCAGATCTTATTTGAAGGAAAGATGAAACACTAAATAACTGAGGGATAAGCTTTCTTGAGGCTGCAGCCCTAGGTCCAACATCTTAAAATTCAATGAATCTAGATTTCTCTAGATCTAGATAGACTGTACATGGTTGAAAGAATTTCAATTGCTTACGGTTGTCATGATCAGTAATTGGAGGCATCAATGACTTCATCAGCCATCATGAAGGTCAACCCCTTCCCTCTTGCCTGCATTGCAATGAGAGATGACAGAAGGTGGCCCCCTTCCCCACAGTGTTTAGAGGTAGTAAATAATTTCCTTCATGCAATATTGATACAGTTGACTCTTGATATAATGAACACTAATGGAACAAAAAACCAGTTGTACCAAAATCCTTGACCTTGCCTGGCTGAAGGTCCATAGACACCCGTGCTAACAAATTTGGATATAATGAAAGCGGATATAAAGAAATGACTGATATTATTAAAGAATTTCTGTCCTCCAGATAGAAGCTATGTGGGATAAAATGAATTTTCCCCCATCCAGAAGGAAATGATTTTTTTTTTCTCCTTCTTGACAGAAGTGTAGTTCCTCACCTCTATTTACCCCTTCATCTCAGTTTTCAGCTGTATGGCCTATGAGAACCAAGGATTTTTGGCACATGCAGAATGTGGGTGAATATGCATGTGGCAAAGGGTGTGAAAACAGAAGATGCAAGTGAATGAAGCACTTCAGTGCTCAAGCTCAGCAGCTTTTTGTCAGTTTCCTTTGTTCCAATGATCCTGTGTGAGTTTGATTTTACAAGGCTTCAGGATGTCCAAGCCTATTACATGGCAGAACATTTACACTTTTAATCCTTTCACTGCATAATTTATTTTGACATACTGCCAATGGCAATGTTGCAGGAAGCAACAGAAGCCACTTTTCACAGCATAAGGGGTAAGATGTCAGCTGCCAACGCTATTTCTGATGATTTAACCACAACACCACATGACACACCCATGGATATGTGGCAGCTAAGGTGTCAAAAGCACTGTCGTCCACAAAACCCTCAAAAGCCGTAAGGTCCCCAAAGTACACCCACAGGATAATAATAGTATATACACAAGCACAACGGGATTCAGTTCTCTAATAGGCGATATACAACTGTCTCCTGATAAAATGAAAACCTGATATAATGAAATAATTCCAGTAGCTTCATCAACTTCATTATAACAAGTCAACTGTAGTTTTGGATGATGAATAGATGTTTTCAAAACAGCTATTGTGACAGTCATGAGAAGAATGAATCAGCATGAAAATTCTACTTGATTTCTAGCTGTGGAGTGTCCATGGAATACATCCAGCCTCTACATCTTCAAGAGACTCACCCCATGTCCCATGGCTCCCTTCCATGGGAAATGAAGATGAACCCAGCAAAGGATGCATATGACCAATGATCTCTTTAATCAATTAAAATTAAGATATCAATCATAAACATGACTCTCTGAGAGAGGACACAAGAGAAGAAATAAAAAGGTTCACAGATCACAGTCTGAAGTCTGTGTGAAAGGTCAGCACCAGGCATGCAGGAACAAATAGATGATACAAGTTCTCTGCTCAATAAAAGAATTCTTCAAAAAGGAGGGGTAAGGGAATCAGTGAAAATGAACACCTTTGTGCACACTTAATGAAGATACTATTTCCAGGATAGTATAATGCTGTGGTTTGGTGGTATGAACATGATCTTGAATCAGTTGAGAGAAACATGCTCAACATACGGCAATGCTTGGCATAGAGCCAACCAGAACCAAAAGCAATAACTTTAATGAGAAACTTACTAAATTGTGGAAAATAGTGGTGGAATGAAGAAAAATATTTGGTACTTGATTAAGGGCTTAGTATACTCAATCTTATACAGTCAAACAGCTTTGTGTCATTGCCTACTCTTCAAAGAAACTGCAGCTAGTGGCCAAGAATTCCTCAGACTTGAGAAATAAAATGAGTGAGCCCATGTACCAGATCTACATCTCATTCAAATCCCCACAGTTGCGAAACTACAATTATGGTTGTGTATGCACATATGGGGAATTGCACGTGACCAGAAAGTTCCCTCTCTGGATGGCAACTTCATTACTATCACAGTCAGAGTTAGGACAGGAAGTGAATGTGAAGCCATTTGTCAATCTTCTTGATGCTCCACACCTGCAGAAATTTCCTGAACTCCAGATTCAGCAATTGGTACAAAACGATCTCCAATCTGGACCAGGAGGATGGTGCGATCAACATGAGAGCGATGTGCAGGCTCTCGATGACGTGGAACCCAAAAATGAACCACAGGGCCTTCCATTCCCTCAACTGGAACCCAGTCTCTCCACTGACTGCGACCACCACGTTGCCTCATGGTTTCATCCGGCCACACAACATCAATCCGACGATTAAGGTTGATTGCATCATACACCTGGTTTGCATCAATGATCTGCAATGATATACAGTTCAAATGCTAACCACCAATACAAGCATACAGGCATGTTATGTAAATAAAACAAGTGGAATTCCTTACCCTGACATGAGATGGAATGTGCAGAGGGAGCAAGGTGTCCTTTCCCTCTGTGATTGCAATTGTGCCAGAAGTACCAGTCATAATGCTGGTGTTTCTGTTAAGAAACATCATGTAGGGTTGAGTATCCTTTGGAGTTGCCTCTGCAATGAACCCTGTTAATCCAACCAGGCTTTTGTTTCGATGACTGATGCTGGTGCTCAAGCTACTGGAGAGAGGAATTGATGGTTGGAGTCCAGAATTACGTCTTCCCCCACTTGCCATAGGGATTCGACTTGATGTCAGGTCAACCGGAAGAGAGGCTGATCCACTGCTTCTAAGTACAGAACTTCCATCATTGACTGAAAATGTTGTCATTGGTATCGACTGGATACAGTACACTGTGAGGAAATAAAGATACCAGTAATTAAATTTTTTTCCTTGCTTGCTGAAAGATCTGATCTCCTGATGGGATAGAATACATACTTGGTGGAGGAGGAGGTCGATGCTGTGGAGGACGAGAGGAATACGTTCCTTCTTGTCCAAACCCAGGATTATCTTGAGGCATTGTCCCTCCACTGGAACAGCTCTCTCCACACCGTCTACGAAGTCTGAAACAATGGCACGAAAACCAAAGATTAAGACAAACTTGCTGAGATAAATTTAACAATGCATATAATATGGAGGAGTATTCCTGACCGTCTCCAGGCTTGGATGATGACTGCCTTGCAGGCTGAAACACTGATGTAACTGCCAACAACAGAGCAAAGCTGCTCATTGGTCTCAGCATATGATGTTGTCAGTGGGCTCACATAGATGGGATATCCTATTGGCTGATCACATGATGAGTTGATCATGTTCCTCAGTGCCTAAAAATCAATTCAAATACACAAGGCCAATTTTAGAATTTTATTTTCTTAGCCATCAACAACCTGCAACTCTTACAAATATCAAAACAAATGGGGTCTTTTCTGCATGACAGCTTTTTCTCTTGTCTACATCAGCTGCCCTACTTGGCAGGTGGTCTGAAAACCAATTAACTGAATACCCCAAACCTAATTCAGCTTCACTCATGAGCTACACCCCTTTTGCTAGAAGTTACTAGGAGGACCTTTCAAAAAGTAGGTACACTTAGCTTCATTTTCAAGGCAATATCAGTAGAGAAGTGGCAATGTTAAGCCTATAGGATAATATCATGCTTTGGCATCAGGTGCACCAACTTTCATGAAGGTGCTCCTGCTAGTTGTCATAAAATGAGCATCATTCTCAGCTGCTGTGAATTCCACAGCACAAAATGATGAGTGACTTCGTCATTGAACTGCATAACAATCAAATTCTCTCACAACCTTCACAGTTGTCACCATGACCAAAATTGTCTGATGTATTACTGTCAGATAGCCATATTAGTGAAGGCTTAGACTTAGTAGCTAATTTAGATTCAGATGCTAAAGATGATCTTCATGAAGAATCACCATTAAGTAATGAAAGTACAAATGAAAAGAATGAGTGTGATGATAGACAGCACCTACTGTTGGCTGGGAGCTATAAGAAACAGCCAGAAAATGTGTTACCTAATGACTAGGATGTGGACCTTGAGCTACATGGATTCCAAAATTCAACCACCAATGAATGAAAAACACCACTCTCTACTTTATTCACATTTACTGCACTTAAAGGGTTAAAAAATAAACTCAATACCAGCCCCTCACCTGTTTGGCATTCTGAATGGAGCCTCTCTCAGGATTGCGATTTCGAAGGTAAACTAGTTCTTGCTGTTGCCCTGCCCAGAGCCCTCGAACACACTCTCGGTTGACCTTGATGACCCGGAAGCCAAGGTGTCGGCGGTTGAGCATGATTATCTTGTACTCATCTGTCCCATCATCTTGCACATGCCTACAGTAAGAGTTTTGGTATTGTGGAATGCAGCTGAATGTACATGAGAATGGAAAGGCTGTTTCATACCTGAGAGCCAGGAGATGAGGTTTGCTCTGGAGCACAGCTGCTCTCCATGATGGGTCAGCTTCATGAGAGATGACATATTCCTCAGCAATGTTCTTGATGGCCACAAACAAAAGCTCATGATCATCATACTCATCATGACATGTGAAGTGATCCTGCAAGAAAACAAGATTGGAGATAAAATAAACATTTCCAACCACTTATTAATTAGAAGTTGAAGCATAATGAAGTAAACCTGATGGAGCTTGAGAGACATTCGAGCTGCAGGAATGATGACCTTCTTCACCAGTTCCATGTCAGTGTAGATCCATTCATCTCGAGCAGAAGCAGTATCAAAGACTCCTTTGAACAAATTGTGCAGGCCATGAAGGAACAGATCCACGCTGCAAAGGATACACCATTGTATTAAAATTATTCTTAAGCAAATTCACAAAACAATCATACAGTATTTAAATTTTCAAAGAATCTGTCTCACCCAGCAGCAGCATTGTTCTGGACCAGAGTGCGTCGACCCAGAAGGCTGAGTGCAAAGCACAGAGTCACCACAAAGGAGTCCTTTGAACATGGCAAGGGCTACAAAAGGATAATACCTGTTTGATACAGTACTGATCAATCTACTTACTTAATATCACATGAAGTACACAACAAGGACTCACTGTATCTAATTGCTTGGCACAGTGTTCTATCCAAGAATAATAAATATTGCAGAAGGCACTCCTTGTCACTCCTCCACATCTCAGATCATAATCTTGATCAATGCTTACATGAAACACAGGATCCAAGTCAACAAAGGACTTCTCATTCATCAATTCAAGTGCCTCCTTGATGAAAGTGTTTGACAGCCATGCCTCCAGTTTCTCAGCTGTCATTGCATAGAAGATAATGCTCTGAAAAGAAATGGCAAAAAGTCAGTTACAGTATGATAAGAGTTAGAATCCTAAGTCAGGAACCTCTAAAACAATAATACTCACTTTCACATAATATGTAACAAGGACACTTCTCAGATCAAAGGCTTGCAACATGGAAGCAGCACTGTTGTCAGCTATACTGTAGCCTTCAAGGACAAAACGGGTGTGAGTCACTTCCCATGCTAGCCACCTCTGACCAAATGCAGCATTCACGCTCAACACTCCAGCCAAATGTCCTGGCTCACAACAGCAACAGCCTGTATGCAAATAATATCAAAACAGACATAATGGAAATTCATGCACACAAGAAAGAATGATGAATAGTTAAATATCCTGTGGCAATACCATCATCCTCTTCAACACCTTCCACAATGGCTTCAACCTCTCGCTGCTGGCAGTAGGTGCCTCGAAACTCCAAACCCCTGACTTGGAATGTGACCAGACCATTGCCATATTCAATGATATGCACAAGACAGTTGAGGTTATCACTGGGAGAAGTGAGCACAAAGACATCTCCTTGAGATACAATCCCCCATCGTCCCAGCATCAAGTCCCCACACAGAGAATGCTGCATAGATCGGGTAAGGTGTTCATAGAAGATGGAGTTCAGGTTGTTGTCATCCTCACCAAGGTTCCTCTGGACATGGCTGGCCAGTCTTGTGTTGGAATGATCCACACGCTTTGTATTATAGTCCCGTTCCCAAAACTTTATCGGACGAACATGTGATGTCCAGAAGATTGCACTGCCTAGAAAAGGCTGAAGAGGTGCAGAAACAATGGAGGAAGCAAGCCCTTGGACAAAAAGCATGGCTGAATGTGGGACACTGAAAGGCTGAGCAAATGCATGGAATGCAGAGCCCCAGGTGATCTGCCATGGGGCAATGTATGTGATGACAAACTTCATCTTCAGGTAAAACTCATACAGTTTCTGAAAAATGATGGTCATGAAGTAGAAATCAAGCAGGAAGGTCTCAGACCAGCCAGGGAAGTCTACTCGGAATGCAAGCGCTGTGAGCACCAGGACCATGTAGATGCGGGAGTCATCACAAAAGCATGTCCTCAGCAGTTTCAGACTTGCAATCACAACAACAACAGAGCCTCCATAGAGACCAAACTTATTCACAATCATTGGTGCATCAGTTGTCAGAGCACCCACAATCACTAGTGGGAGGAGCACATACTTTTCAAACACACTAAGATACACAAACAACTTCTCAAACCACATGACCCTGGCAGAGCGTCTCACTTCCCATGAGTCATGTTCAAAACTCTTGAGGATAGGTTCTGAGAAGCAAAGCCAAGGCATTTGCTTCCGCAGTTGTGAGAAGAGATAGTGAATGATAAAACCAGTGATGGCAGCAACAATCCAAAGAACATCATTGAAACCTGGTTGTGCAGCAGTGAAAACTGTGCTACAGTGGATGGCAAAAACAAGAACTGCCCCAAGGATTGAAATAATGGCATCAGACTTCATTCGTGAAAGCACTGTGGCCTCCAATTTCTGTGGTAGAGGATCCATGTGATCATCTGTGATAGGGTGAGACTCTTGACCATGCCCAAATTCAGTAGATATCCATCTCTTGATTATTCTGACCACCACGGTTGGATCACTCGAGCAACGGCTCAGAAAATAGCTGAGGGAGACTACCAATCCACTGTAAATGGAGAAAATGAAATGCTGGGAAGACAGAGCTTCCCTTAGCCCAGCATATGCAAAGCCAAACAAAATGAATACAGCCAGGATGCTCCTAAAAAGGCAGTAGATCCCAGACACAAGCCCTGTAACAGCTGTGCCTCCAAAGGCATGTATGTCAATCTGCTCCAACAGGTAAGTAGCAAATGTGTTCACTTGAGGTAAAAGCCCAACACTAAAGATGACAGGGAAGAGTTGAATGAAAACTAACATCACATTCTGAGCTGCTCTCAATACATTCACAGATGACAACTGAAAGCCATAGAGGGTAAGGGGGGAAGGTTGTGTGTCTTGTTTCTCCTTTGACTGAATTTCATAATGAAGGAGAAGGATCACAAAGGCACATATGCAAAAATAGACAGAACGGCTGAACAGAACAATGCGGTTGTATCCATGGGTCGGCGAGGCTGCATCTGGTTGGACGCTCTTCAACAGAGAATACTGACAACCAGCCATGACAAAGCAAAAGAAGAAGATGCTGAGATCTTGGAAATATCCAAGGTCAAGGAGGATTGACCCAAGAATGGCTACAGTAGATGCAAGAAACACACTTGCCATGTTCTCCAAAACTGTCAGATTTCGATCCAAACATGCAAGAAGTGCAAGACGATCAAAATGAACCTTGATACTCTTCTTTGGAACCAAATGAAATTTGTAGTATTGGTTTGGCTTTGGAGGCAATTCCTCAGGAAGAGGGAAGCTTGAACTGGAGAAAGTGAGTCTAACTGCAGCCAAAGGTGAACTGGTGTAGTTCTGATGTGACCATGTGTGGCGCAAGAGACGCAGTTCACCAGCTGTAATGGGATCACTTGGTGCTGTCTGTCGGGTGCGATCCAAGAATGGTGTGTGAAGCATGTGAAAAGGTACCCGACTGAAGAGGCTGCTCATTGTCGACCGACTTGCTGTTGCTGTTTCTTCACTCCCTTGACCACCAGACCAAAGATTTGATGAGTCATTATTCATAGTACTCGGCAGCTGATGTCTTGCTACAGTTCGATTGCTTTGCCTTCTTGGTGGCTGGAAGAGTACTGAAGAAGGATCAGGTGGAACTCTGATTGATGACAATGAGGAATTGCTGCCCAACTCTGAACGCATTGATGAATGGCGAGGAAGAAAGACCAGACTTGTGTCAGATGGAATGGCAATTCCAGATTCTCCTTCATTGAATGTGTAGGCCATCCAGTTGCCAAATTCATCTTGAAAGCAATGAACAGCTCCCTCTGATGTGTCATCATGGGAACGAGCCAAATGGCGACCAGGAAGAGTGAGGAGAGGTGCAATGGCAGATAAGGCTGCATTTCCAAAAAATGGCTGCTGCACCTGCTCACTCTCTGATGAATCAGCACGTGATGGGCGGCGGGTATTCCTCTGTCTACGTCTCCTTGCACCCATTCGCCTTACCGTCACCCCTCGAATTGTGGTGTCATTTTGTGAATGATCAATTCCATCCATTGCTCCCTCTCTCTTCTCACCGAATCCTGAATCCTCAGATTCCTCTCTAATGGTGCTGCGGCTCTGGAGAACAAAAAATGAACAAGATCAAATCCATTTGCCAAAGAATAACACAGATCAATACCTTTTTTTGCTTCAACTCACAGATGACGATGGGAGTTCTATTGGTTCCTTGATGGAATGAGAGCGACTGCCTCTGGTTCTCTGTCTACTTCCTTCATATGATCGATCACGATCATCTGAAATGACAATATAGTGCACACAGTAAGTTCTGTGGGATCTAATGACTTTCACATGCAGACCTCATCAAGTTGAAGTTGAATGTCTATGACCCACCACTTTGTGTTCTCCTGGGAATATTCCTCTCTCGGCGCCCAGTATGTTGGCCCTGAGAAGGCAGACTGAGCATCTCCAGCCTCTCATATTCTGCTCTGCGATTCCTCATGCTCTCCCCATCTTCTTGTCCTTGACAGGATAAGAATATCATGACAGGTGCAAAAATGAGAGATTACTGTCCTACTTAATTAAGAATCTCAAGGGAATGCTTTGAAAATTCACATTAAACCACATTTTCATCTTAACAAATAGGATGAAAATCTTTAAGCAAAAAGACACATGAAAAAGATTGAAAACATAAATGAAGTTGTGTTACATAGCTGCAAAAAAATAGGGGACAAAATTACTCATGACATAGAATTCCCATCATAGTATTGACCAGGATTGCTTTGGTAGTGGTCAGTTGGTCTTACCAGCAGAGAAAAATATTCATCAGGCTTGATGTGACAATGAGTTTGTATAAGCAAAGGATCTTGTTACCTCTATGAAGGTTTTTACTGCTTTTATTGCTTCTTTACAGGAGCAGTCATAGTCATTGTACCCTTCACCTCATCAGATGGGGGTGAATGACGATGAACACACGTGCAATGTGTGTTTCATTGCTGCATGTGTGCTGAACTGAAGATGGTCATCTTAAAATGAACATTTTGAAATAGCTGTATTATATTATATGGAACAACTTGATGAGTTCATTTCATATCTTTTAATGCAGATCCATTTTATGGTAACTTGATCCCATTTCTCATATTGCCCAGACCATCATGAAAAAAAAGATAGATGAATTGTGATGGTATTAGTATTGATACTGTAGGGTGAGGAACAGATGAACTTGGTGCAGAATATTTAAAGAAAAAGTGACTGCAAACAGTATAGCATTAAAAGAAATATGCAGGGGGCAGGGGGGGCAGCTGCCCCCCATAAAATATAACACTCCTTTGGTGTGTGTCAACAGGGAGAAGATCAATGGTGGGAGGAAATGGACACCCATCAAATTCTGAAACATATTGTCGACAATTCAGTCTTTACCATCTTCATCAAATGGTGATCATACGACCTCTCAATATCCCATAGCCTTGGTCACCCATGAGATGTCATGGAAACATTGATGACATGCATGTGATGGGTGACTCTAATATGCAATAATCATTGAATCAAAGTTATCATGATTTGATATGTATCAAGGGAGCAATATTGATTTGGGTTGGTATCAGAAGAGCAAAATGATAAAAGTTGAACTTCTGAAATGCAGAATGCTTAAATGATGGAGCACAGAATAATTTGAAGGTAGAAAGACATGAACACTGCCAGACATTTTAGGGCAAATACCATGGGGAAAACTGCTCATACTATCACACTTAATTGGAATATCATGCTTAAAATAAAATATAAATTGATTATCTTGTACAAGTGAATTTAACGAAACCCCTGTAGAATAGACAAGTCCTGATGTTAGCATGTCTCACATACCTGCATGAAACCTGCTTGTGGGACCTGGAATAGGAGGTGGAGGTGGAAGAATATATGATGAATGAAGAGAAGGATGCTTTGGACATTCCTGTCTTGAAGACACTGATGAAGAGGGAGAGAAAGTTAGAAGTTTAGGCCGAGCACCCTGTCGAATTCCAGTAATGGCACTATGAGGAACAGCCTCTGGTAACAATTGACTCATTTCACTGGTTTCACTTGGGGAACTTGACTCGCTTGAATCTTCCGTGTGTTTCAACAATGGATCTGCCACCAGGAAGGGAACATGTGAAAGAGATGCAAGCAGTTATGCATGCAAATTTAAGAATGTTCATCACTTCACCTTCTCCTTCAGGAAAGAGCAGACTGAGGCCCATGCTAGAAGAGGCATCACTTGCCAAGCTGTTCCGAACTGAAGTGGCAACATCCATAGGGAGAGAAAAACATGCCATCTCTGCTTCCACATCACCTCTGCTTGCCTTTGTCAATATGCTATTCCCATGCAGATGAGTAATAGCTTCTCCCACTATGAAATCCCAGACACAGCTTACAAATATACATTAAAAACCAGACTGTTTTACCCTGCCTAATAATGGGTTTTGCTCACCTGGAGATTTTGTAAATGCTGCTAGAATTTTCTGGGGGCTAGTAGGTTCTGAAATGATTTCTGTCTGTGTACTCTCACTATGACTGGTGCAAGTATGGGAAGAAGAAGAAAAAACTCGGGATGAACTATCTTGTAGGCAGGCATTGTTTTGCTGATATGCACCTATCTTCCAGAGCGTTCCTTCTGAGTCAGATCGTCTTAAGGGAGTATCACTGCTTGCCCTCCCAACCAGATTTCTATTGCTGTAGAAACTTGTGAGCCGTGAGGTTGTATCACTGATGCCTGTGCTCTGGCGTCGTGGAGGTTTAGGTGGGGGCACTTTTCTTGCAGCCCAACTCTTTCCACTCAGCAGAGGTGATTGGCTTCCCTTGGGAGTGTGGAAGTGCTCTTCTGCTCCCTTGTAATCAGAGAGCTGCAAAGTTCTACCTGCATGTATGTCTACTGCTGGTGCCAATGCACATTCCTCACTGCCTTCTACTATAGGAGAAATATCTCCACTAGTGTTGGGTATGACAATATCCTGAGAAGGACTATGAGGTGAGGCAGCCACAAGGCTTAGCCAGTCCAGACTGACTGGATGGGATGGGGGAACTGACTGTTTAGTTGATTGTGTATTTGCTGGCTGGCAAGTCTCGAGAGCACTTTGAGTCCTCCGAACTGCACCACCTGACTCCCATCTCTTCTTATCCCCTGTAAAAAAGCATTTTTTTTCAAATAGTACCAAAAACAGTAGCAAAATACCTGATTTCTGTACACCAATTCTTAAGATGAGGACTCACCACTGCCATTCTCCATATAATAACCTAGCTGAAAGGACTCCTGCATCCCCATACTGGAATATTCATTGCTTGGGAACGATCGTGCAAGATTAGAAAGGTTTGCATATCGACGAGCAGCACCTGCTGGCAAAGGCTTGGGGGCCCCAGCAGAGGAATCATCCATAGAATCCTATAACAGATAGTTTTATGTTTCTTTTACATTCAGCACCATTATGGTGTTGAAGTGTGGAATTAAAAAAGACTAGACTTAAAGTTTCCTCATCAAAGGATGAAATGAAAGCAAGTCTGCATATTGTTTCCAACAATCCTGACCCTAACTCCATAATCCAAAAGCAGAAGAGTGTAACTCCAATCAAACTATAACTTCATTGGAAGTACTCCACTTCACCTTTGGATGGTAAACACATATCCCTCACACAATGATGTCAATTCAGAGGTGTGCTAACCACACTTACCAATGGGAAGCTTTGAGGCCTTTTATTCTGAAATGAACACCTAAAGGTAGAGCTGCATGCTATATCAATATTGTAAAACTATCAAAATATGGAACCATCATAACATTATATCAATATTGTCAGGCAGAAGTTGCTGGAGGTAGGAAGAATGAAGAGAATGAGGAAACAGCTCGAAGTCCCTTTCCTTCTGGGGCTCATGAATAATACCAGTGCATTGAAGGATGCATTGTCAAGGTACAGGATGTAGAAAATATCTTGGGAAGCCTTCTCAGTCACCAATGCTCCCATTAGCATGGTGTAGGTCAGAAGAACACCTTTGCTTCCCCAAAACACCATGCCAATAATTTTGTATGCTGACGTAGCCACCTTGAATTTTCTTGAAGATGGTGACCCTTAATGCTTCCATTGAGTCAACTGGGCCTTGGTCTCAAAGTTGTAGAGAGCTACTCAGGTTTCATCCATCATGACAATTCTGGTCAGGAATTCACGACTCTCTTGGAAAAAACAGCATAGAAACTACCTGCAGACATCCACTTACATCTTGTCAGTCATAAGTTGCCTTGGAACCCAAAAGATGAATCCCTTCCTCAAGAGGAGTTTGTCTGAAAGAATTACATGAACAGATTCAACAGAAATCTGCAATGTTCTGCTACTCCTCAGCTAAATGCTGCCTGCCTTCCATAACAATGCTATCCACAAGGTCACACATTTTGTCACATGTTGCTACCAACAGCTATCCACTGTAAGGGTCATCTTCAGCATGCTCTGTACCATCTTTGACAGATCTGTACCAATTCCTCATGCTGGGCACTGATAAACAATAATCCCTATGAACTTCATTCAATTGCTGATGAATGTCAGCTGCACTCTTCCAGAGCAGAATAAAAAACTTGATAGTTCTCTGCTCAACTTCAGAAAATGCTACTATACAAGGGGTGCTCAAAAAGTTTTGCAACCAAGTCTTGCTTCATGGAACAAAGATATTTGGTGGTAAACTTAATTAATTTTTTTAAATTGTCATTGTCTCATCTTTCATACCAACATTTTAAGAAATACAAGCAATTAATGTAGGAATGCCCAAAAATGTATTAAATCATCTTTTCTCTCTTGGCTCATTTTTGAAGATATCCTGAAAAATTACAACACAAATGATCAAAAGTGAAAGAAAAGCTTATTTTGGGATATGACCAAAGAGGTGTTATTACATGTGATTGAGTGTCAGCCAAGCAGCAAATAAGCCAACATTATTACAAGGAATTTGTTTAAAAGAAACTGTGCCCAGAAATCCAGAAAAAGAGATCTGGTCTGCTGGAGGCTGGCCCAATCATCCTGCAAGTCAAAGGCAGCTGTCATTCTGCCCTTCTTGTCTCAGAATTGTTGGAGAGATATGAGTGGAAAGTCAAGGATCATCTGCCCTATGGTCCCAATCTTTCCTCCAGTGACTTTTATTTGATTCCCCTTCTCAAGGAACCCAAGAGAAGGACTCGATATTCTGTCCATCAGGATTAGATGCTACTGTGAGTCCAAGGATCAGATGCATTAACAAAGACCACCTAGCACAAGGAATCAAGAAGCTACCAGGAAGTGTGAGTGTCAAAACTTTCAAAAGAATTTCAAAGTTCCAGCTTGTATTAATATGATCAGTGGTCCCAATCAATGGGCTGCTACCTACTCCTGGATAGATGTGGAGTTTTGGTTTGGGACATCCAGTTCAGGATACAAGAAATAAACATTTTATTTTTGCAATACATTTTTTTTTTTAAACCTGTATTCTTTTCAATGTCCAAAAACCTTCCTATTTGGTCATGGAGTCTTGAATAGGCAAAATATGAGTTGCACTGTCAAAAATGTTGGGAACAACAGGATTAGACAAATAATGGCAACTAATATTCAGCACTTTTTAAATGCACTCCATAGTTAGTTAATGAAAGCAAACAATTAAAATTTCCAATTGTAGCAGAAATTGCAAAGATGAATAGCAGTCTAGAATATAGAATTAGAATTTCAGCAAATGTAGCCTTGGGTTGCCAGATGCTGACTCACCTGAGAGTGCCTCTCCTTGGACTCTGCATCTGGCACATTGTTACTGATGGCACTTGCTGAAGTACCCATTCCTTCATGTTGAACAGTCTTAGATTTGTAAGAAATATCCACCACCTCTTCCACTTCAGCAGGTTCAGCAGCTGGAGTTGTTTCCTTCTCAAAGTGATGAACATCAACCTTTAGATCTGTGCAGGACAGAAGAGAAACTACATTCAGAAAATCTGGTTCTCAAGCAGGGTTCTCATGACAATATCATAATCCATTTCCCTGACTTATTCCAGGTGTGTTTAAATAATCTGCAGACCAAAATTTGCATTTTCATGCAAGGGTTGTGTATTCATAAAAGAGTTGGGGTGCTTTGATCAGTTATTTCAAAAATTCAACCTATAAGGTGCTGCAAAAGTATAACCAAATCATTTCATTTACTTTCAAAATGAATCCGTTGTTATTCTTGATGCTAATAGTGGCACTATTCATGACATGCAGCAACCACTTTCACAAGTGGGGAAAAAAACTATCTTAATATTTTCTATATTTTCTAGCATTGTTATATTTAATCTAAAATTATTTTATTATTGTATCTTAAAAATTGAGATCCCTGGCTTGTAACAATAATTTTTCAGGGGGAAATTAGGAAACTAAGAAAGAAACAAAAAGTTGGATAGAGCTATAGTAGCTATATTTAACCACCATGACAAATTATACAGTATTAGGTAATTATATGCAAATAGCATAATTAAAAAACAACCTTTTTTGAATAAACTAATAAAATACTGAAAAAACTTTAGGAAAAAGGACTTCATTCAGAAGAAATATATATCTGTATTTGTGAGCGCATGTTTTATAAAGAACTTATTTCCACAATTGAAGAAATAATGATCAGAACAATGGTCAATATAGGAACTTTATTTCATCAGATGTGAAAGTGAGTAATCTATATTTCCATATGGAAAGATTATATATGGTAGTTATATGCAATTATCTGTGCCTTATAGATTCATATATTTTTAATGTATTAAAATATGAATGCAAACATGTAAGGGCATATATGGTTGAAGCATATGATCCATATAAGGATTATTTATATATTAAACATACCTGAGCAGCATATATATTCTATATAAAATGATTCTAGAGTTTGAGGGATGGGCTCCTGCATATATGTATCTGGTTTAAGTATATGATTTTTTATAAAGGACTTTTATTTATTGTATATACATGTTCAGCATGCAAGCTTCCATTACAAAATATATCACTAGAAATATACAGGGTGGCACAGAAGTCATGCACCATGGTAATTTCACTGTTGCACAGCATTAATTCTTGTTTCTTTATTTGCAGGTTAGTGATGGCTGCAAAGTTACAAAAGACAAGAGGGTGGAGTTAAGATATGTTCAAACTTATGTGCACAGTGAATTGAAGTGTTTTCAAGTTAATGGGAAACAATTAAAATGTTTACTGGAATTTCCCCTATGATATGCGACTTTTGCGCCACCCTGTATATCCCATATGCATAAGGTATAGTATACAATTTATATGGCATGGTCATACCCACATAGAATGGTAACATCTCAGGGATATCCCAATGACTTTATGGAATATTTTAAGGACATCTTCAGTTGGATGGTTTAAGACATCTTGAAAGGGATGTCTTCAGGACTTCTTAGAGATGTCTTTTAGAAATCTTCAGTTGAAGAACACCATAAGGAACAACCCTCAAAAAATAAAGGGTTGTTCTGTATTTCAGGAAATGATTCAGTTTCAGAAAGAAAGGCACCCAGATATTTTGATATCCCTGAGAAGCCCCTAGTATTTATCTCTGGGACATCTCACTTGTCCCATGGACATATCACTGGGATATCTTTGGGATGTACTTGTGATGTGTCGGAAGTGAATTGTTTTTTCATTTTCACAAATGTGACAGATGAAGTTCCAATTCTCAGCTCAGTTCCTGAATTTATTTTTAATTTGGGAGAGACTTGTGGGAGTAACATGATTTGGTCATGTCTCTTATCAGATGTGACACATATGTCCCACTGTGTATTAGATAGACATACTAAGGCATACAAGTAACTTATCTGCTCCTCCATAACCATACATGGTTTTTATAAATTATTATATGACCTTGCCATATGTGATCATATACTTATGGTTTCAATAAGAAGATATGATCATACAGGGTGTTCATATTTAAATGCAACATAGGAAATGTTTTTCTGCCTGTAGATGGAGTTCAGTGAATGCTATAAGGCCCACCGGGTTGCATATCTACCAGGAAGCACACCAAGGATAGGTTTCATCCTTCTAGATATGCAACCCTTTGAGCTATAAGGCATGCCCTGAACTCCATAAACAGGCAGCAAACATTGCCCTATGTTGTGTTTAAATATGAACACCCTGTATAATATAAATGATAAACCATATATGTCCCATATAACATATAGGCCCTTTTCTCAAAAAATCATATATGATTTTTCCATATGGGTTAAAAACTTATGCTCATACTTTTATATTTTAGCTTCCATACTTCCCTACTAAAACTTATGCAATAATTTTAGGATTATTGGAAAAAAGTTCATTTTTCATCATGAAAAATAATTGGAATTACTTTTGAAATTTAATTTTATATGCTAAAAAGTAAGTAAAATAAAGCTTCTTCCATCACTATACATGTATATTATTATTAAGATTTTCTCTTTGGGTTTACAATGCTACATATTTTTTCCAAAAAGTGATAGTTAAACCTCCTTAGTGCTCTTTTCATTACTGTTTTCACTCCAGTGCTCTTTCCTTCTCTTGCCAAAGTTGTCTTTCATGATACATGCATGCAATGCATGCAATGCATACATAACTATGGTGGAAAATGTTTTATTTACTTCACTGGAAGTATCCCACACACCATAAGTACATCCCAAAGATATCCCCTCAGGGCAAGTGAGATGCTCCAGAGACAACAACTAGGGACATCAAAATGTCTGGGTGCAAAAATATCCTAAGAATGTCCCTTTCTTGCAGAGCAAGCATAACCCAGAGATGTCCCAGGTTATCTACTTGGGACAAGTGAGAAGTTCCAGATATTACTTGCATGAACACATCAGTGAAATCATGTCAAATATCTATGTGCTTTTCTTTCTGAAATGACTCATTTCCTAAGATATGAGGGTCATGATATGAGGGAAAATATCTCTCTCAAGATGTCAAAAACAGTCCAAAACAAGCTGGGCAAGCCCAGTCCAGTAGTGGGCCTTCTTTCAGTTGAGGAAACCCTAATTTTTTCACCTACTTGAACAAAATGCCATCTCTTTCCGGCCTTTGACCATCAAAACCCTAATTTCTTATTTATATTAGATAAACTTAGATAAATAGTGCCCATAAAACAATGATGGGATGGAGGGCTGTGCGTGGTGGGATACATCCACCACAAAGGTTGGTAGGGAACTGACAACTCTGGTTGATGACACACCACTGCACCCAAAGCCTAGGCCGTATGCACATGCACATTGTGATCCACATCCTGAAGGGCTTGCAGGTACTCATGCCTTCCCCTCTGTGACCAAATTTCAAATCCAAAATTTGTAATAAAAAAGCCAATTTTGGTGCAAATTCACCACAAAATGAACTTGGCCTGTATGTTGTTCATATCTACCTGCCAGCCAATTTTCGTATTGATCAGACCAATATTTTTTTAGTTATCATCAGACAACCAAAGTATGACACACTGACACATGGACAGACAGGACAGGCACATGTGGTCTCTTTCCTTTCAGGAAAAGAGGCCCACTAAAAAAGATGTATTCAGGATGTCCCAGAAAGACCTTGGGACAAGTTGTCCAGTTGGGGACATCCATGGGATGCCACTGTGCAGTGTGGGATGATGAACATATTATAAAGAGGACCCTCCCCTCCACCCTGAGACTGTCTTGGGGTAAACACCAAGGAGGTTATACTAAAAGACCACTATTTGTCACCTCATAGCACCTTTTGGGTTGAGAGTCTGCTGACCTGTTAGTCAAGATTAGATATGTTTTCTTTAATGGTACTTTTAGTTTCTTCGCAATTTAAGGCCAAAACATCCCACTTAGGGCACCCATCTTTTCTATAAGAACACTTCCCACATCCCTAACCCTTAGAACAGGGGGAATAATCAATATTTTCCCAAGTTGAGGATAATTTTTCAAGATTTGCTGAAAGAAGCAAGCATACCAATTGTCTGCCGAGATGTCTTCCCTCCTTCAGAAGATGCCCCTTGAACTCTCCTATTTTCTTCTTTCATTGTTTCTGCTATATCTTTCCTGTTAGACAATGCTCCATCCACCTCCTCCAAATCTTTCTTCTGTAGACCTTTGCCTTGACTGGGCTCCTCAATACATGGTTCACAATCTCTTTTAAGCTCATGCATTTCTATAGCCTCCAACTCACTGCACATAAAAAAATTAAACCAATTTATAAACAGTCATTAATTCTAAAAAGCAAAACTCAAGATTGATAAGCAATACAAAGTAGAAAAATTCATCCAGCAAAAGAGTTTATGGTTTTTATAATTGCAAACAGCATGGAATCCCTCAACCAGCACCTTCAATCCATGTTTAGATCCACTGAGAGAAAACCACTTCCTGTGCTTGTTTTCGAATTGTTAAGTGTTGTTTTTGTGAATAAAAAAAAACACATTACAGTAATGCAATTTTTTTTTTAACTACATGAACAAGGTACACCAGCTATCTCAACTTGAGAGAACTATTAAAGCAGAGGTATAAAGAGTGCCAACATACCAGACTCTCTGTTTCCCTGAGGTAACATCACCATCATCTTGTCCACCCGAGGGCTCTTCCACAATGCACTCACTGGTGTCAAACATTTGATGAAGACGATAGTTGACAAATTTTACCGATAAGAAAAGGCTGGTGATGCAGGTGCAGTATGCTGTCCACATATAGAGGGAGGGTTTGAAGTACTGAAATGCAAGTAGTGGAGAGCTTATAAGATTTCAACCTATGCTACTTTCTATGATGTGCATTAGTCAGGACTATAACAACATGTTATAATCTTCAATGTAGATTTTAGGCCTATGTGCAAATTAGACCTGGACTTTATCACTTACATACTCTTTTAACTTTGGTGAATATAGGCAAAAAACCCAAAATCAGTGAAGCCCTATTTTGAAAATGAGTTAACCCTTCACTTTAACTTAACTGTACCAATTGGCTCAGTATCAGAAAATGATATTAAAAGAAATAGGGGTACTTGAAAATTATGTCAGGGAAAATTACAGGCAAAAAAAGGACAGGTCCAAGAAAGCCTAGAACTAATGTTAGGCCTTCAGTGCATCACAACACCGCAGGCTAGAAATGTTACAATAGGAAATATTTTAAAAGTCAATGCTCAACTCACCAAATACAAGGTAAATGGGGTGCATAGGAGGAATAAAAAGAGGTAAAGATGGATGGTATTGCTGAAAATGCTTTGACGTGGATCCAAAAACCATCCTCCCGAGAGGGAAGCCCAAATTCCTTGTCTCAAAATCTCAAATGTTTGAGAACCCATAGCGATGTCTGCGAAGCCCTTCCGAATAGGAAGCTATAATTTCAATAAATACGGAGGATCACAGCTAACCAGTCCGTTCTCATCACCAACACGAAAAATACAGATAACAGTGGGCCAGGTCAAAGTCTTGAGTCGACTACGCTTCATTCTCCGTACAAGATACTTCTACACATGAATGGTGAATACGGCCATCGCCATATTGTCTCCTGCGACGTCACACTCCCCGTGCAATCGCTAGAAAACCAAGCGGACAGCGGAGAGCGATAATTTCCAAAGGCAATCGAAGAATAGATACAGAAAGACCATGATGCTTGACGACCAACTTCCATGCAATATGCATCTATTCGTATTTGTTTATCAATAGGACGAGAGGATGAGAGGAAAACATGCTTGGAATGCGCTTAACCTATGGGCATACCAATGGCCGCCTGCATGTCTGGGACAAGAACTCGACGATTGACGTCTGTTGCACCTGTGAACTCCACGCTCTCAAATTTCGATTAATTTCAGTGTGTTTCCAGTCGTTCGTGTTCTAAAACGTATGTTAGCATGGAAACTTATTGTCTAGCTTCCACCACAAGCAATGTCTCGATTGGACGTGATGATGTCGGACCAAGAATGGGACCATGTCATATTGAATCCAAACGTAAATTCGTTGCCTTCCATCGGTTGGGAAGTTTCACCACCTCTCGAGTCAGAGAATTGTTCATTTCACGATATTGTTGCATGCCTGTGAGAATTGAAAGCTTAGGCGTCGAATTGAGCTGTACGTTACACGTACGCACACCTCAACTGTCCTGACTACCTCACACCATCCTTTGTGCATACATCATTTCTCCCTTCATGGGGCATCGTACGCATTGCGCCTACAGACCTACTGTGTGCACACCATGCACATTGCAGACCCCTCACTCAGTGTATAGTTGCCCAGTGGTGCCTCACCTATGTGTTTATAACATCTGGAGCAGAAGTAAAGGCATGGCAGAGTGGCAGGAATAGGAGTAAAGTTCTTTAGTGTTCCCTTTCTGTCCATAGTGCACTGTTGCATGCATATTCCCAAACAACAGGGTTAACCCCCTCTGTTGCATTGTAACCACCCTGTTGGAAAAAAAAATAGGAGAGGGGGGAAAAGAACTGCCTAAGATAACTTGGAAAATTCTGACTGCTGTTGCTAACACTCCAGGAATGTATGCTTTTACTCTAGAATTTATTTGAATTTTTTGCATTCCCAATTGAGAGAAGGATAAATTCTGACAAATTGATCGACATGGGAAAAGGGTTTAATTTTGGCATTCCCTCCCCAGGGGTCAAAATTCCTTCTGTGGAGGGGAAACAGGACTGCACACATCTGTAAAGGTTTAAAAAAAAACATAGATCTTTCCTCCATTGGGAAATTCAAAGGAATTATGTAAAAACCATGTTTTTCTTTGTTAAATATCCAATTATAATCCAAAGTTTTAATTACCTGTTGTCTGCCTTTAGCTTTAATAGCTTGAAGTCTAGATGGATAGAAAAGAAGCAGTTCTTGAAACATGCAATAGGATCTCTTGCTTCATGATATGATCCCTCTGATTCTGTTCAGAAAGTGATATTTTTTACAGTCCCTGATTTTTGAGCAAGCAATATTGAATGCTCACAATTTACCTGGAATAAGAAATATGCAGAATGAAATGAGCTTTCATATAATGTAATCAGATTTCATTTGTCAATTGCTGTTTGGAAAGTACATGGTGATCTAGGATTTGTTGACACCCTGTAGATGTGTGACTCTACTGGGGAAAATGGTGCAAGAATGAAGAGGGAGGACTGTGGTGTGCATGGAGTTCACAGGAAGTCTACAGGCACAAGATGTACACTTGGGAGCCCAACATGCTTCTGCAATACCAAACTTAATATCACAGGTTCATTGCTCTCACATGCATCAGGAACATCCCAATGTGCATGACAAAGGGGCGTATGATATATATGCTGTCATAAATACTGATGTGTGCAGTCTTGAAGCCTGGACAGGCCACAGTGTGCATGCTAGTGTGCAGGTGTGTGCTGAATATGTAGAACCAATAGTAGGCCTATATGTGACCCAACACTTATGAAATTTTTCTCACTTTGGTTAAGCCATCTATTATGGTCAAAGTTGTTTGTTTAGTTTTCTCAGTGCCTTTCAGGAAAAGAAAAAAAAGCATTATATTAACTCTTTGACAATTGAGCATTTTACACATTTTCCCCCTAAAAATTGTTCAATATTTTTGGAAAGTTTCAGGAAAGAATAGTGACTACTTTTAGATTATGTTTCGCTGTAGAGAAAATGATGATCTGAATGCAGGAATTTTCATTTGATATTGTATGCACCAAGGCCCAATGTGGCCTAATTTAGTGGATAAATTCCAGATTATGCTTACAAACTTAAGGGTACTATCCTGTGGCTTTTTCCCTGGGAAGCCTTGCTTAGGATCTCGGGAAGAAAGCAATTTTGTGAAACCCTGCTTTTTCATTGGTGCACTCATTGCCCTTCTAGCATATGCTTGTCCATTATACCTACACATATGTACAACCTTGTGCATGATACACATGAATGAAGACAATAACAGTTGCCATTTGTTTATCCTGTTATTCAGTCTCTATTTCAGATTGCAAGCCAGATGACATTCCTGAGTGATGCTACTCCATCTCGTTTGTCAATTGGAGGGGGAGGAGCTCCTCTTATAAACAGATGATTGCCCCATGCCTCCACGATCCTTTTCCATGGATTCTTGGAGGCTTGACAATGGGCAAGATGAATCCAAGGCCGGGGCTTCAGGAGCATTTCGCAAAGCCCTCTATGATTATGAGGCACAAAATGAGGATGAGCTCACCCTGCGAACAGGGGATATCATTGAGGTTCTCTCTGAAGACTCTCGGATTTCGGGTGACGAAGGATGGTGGACTGGAAAGCTTGGTGATAAAGTTGGCATCTTCCCTGCCAACTTTGTTGAACCACTTGGTTTTGATAATTCTGTGAATTCTCAGGAGTATGTACATGAAATCCAGCTGAATGAAATCAAGTACAAGGACTTGCAGTTGGAAGAAGTGATTGGACATGGTGGATATGGGCAAGTTTTCCGAGGATTCTGGATGGGAGAGGAGGTTGCCATCAAGACAGGCTTCTTCAATCCTGAAGAGGATATCAACCAAATAATTGAAAATGTCAGAGAAGAAGCCAAATGGTTTGCTATATGTAACCATGGGAACATCCTCCAATTCAAGGGTGTATGTCTTGAGCCACCACATTTGTGTCTTGTCATGGAATATGCTCGTGGAGGATCCCTGGATCGAGTGCTCAAAGGTCGCAGGATATCTCCAATTGTAATTGTGGATTGGGCTATGCAAATTGCACGTGGAATGAATTATCTTCATAAGGAAGCCCCCATCCCAATTGTGCATCGTGATCTCAAGTCCTCTAATGGTATGTATTCAAGAGTTAGGAAGGACAAGCTTTAGAGGAATTGCTTGAATTTAGTCATGTGTATAATAAACAATAAAATAGGCTTATTTTATGCTTTAAAAATTAATCACATTGACACTTCCTATCATACATTTTTGGTCTCGTGTTTCACCCTGTGCCTCATCCAACTCTGTTGCATCTGCTCCCTTCCTTTGTCTTTTCCTTCCTCAACTGTTGATTGTTTCATTTAAAAGAAAATTATGATCACTATTTCTTGACAGCATATTATTCTTGCATATTCATTACATGAATATTCCACTGAAGAAAACAAAAACAAAAAAAATTATTTTTAAAATTTTAGCTCCTGCTTGTAGACTTTAGAATGATACATTTCTTGGAAACCTATATATTTTGTGAAATTTAATGGCCATGGAATTTCATTTTAGGCTACCCTTTTCTTGCTGAAAGTTTTTCATGAACTTTATTTTAATCAATGAATCAATAACTATTAAAACAGAGAGTTAGCTCAAAGTTTGTTAGATTTTTCCTTGTTCTTTACATAAGAGAACAAGGCAGGAGGATAAGGTACTCAGAAGGGATTGGAGTTCCCTGTCCATATTCAGTTTCTGATTTCCTTTGTATAAATTGCTCATGGCCTTATTTTGACCATATCAATTTGGATAAAAAATTTTTAAAGTGTGTTTGGAACATATAATTCTATGCAGTGTAAGGTTCATGAAAGTAACATCTTCAAAAATTGTTTTCAGCATGAAATGCTTTTGAATACAGTCAAACCTCATTTTAAAAAAAGTCCAAGGGACCAGAACAAAAATTTATTATAAGGAGGTTTTTAAAAGGCTTGTTTCAAGCTGAAGCTAGCCTCCAGTTTCTTGTGCAAGAGATCATGGAGCATTGTTCAACACATCAAGCATATATGTTACACCATATGTATGCTTTCCATTGAGTTTCAATTTCTGTAGAAGTATTGGCTAATGAGCAAACCAGATAGATTGAATGAGATATGGAGTGTGACATAACCTAGTACATTTCAGTGCTCTTGGGATGAAGCTTTCATTCTAAAATATATTATTCAAGTATTTTAAAATAATCACATACAGTTGAACTCAGTTATGACGTCATTGAAAGGACCAGGGAAAAATCATAGTTGAAACCAAGGTTGCCTTTATTTACATTCCATTTCCCTGTTTTCAAAATGGATGATATATACAACTCTAGTGTACATTGATTATCCTACTTTGGCTTCCTGCCAATTTCTTGTTTTGCTGCATGTTCTTCTCATGAGGACAGACGAAGCTGTCAAAATTATTCCAAACTGTGGAAACAGATGTCCATGTTCATAAGCACTGTCAGTTTCACTTCACCCACTTTCTACAGGTATTAAACAAATTGTGCACATTTTTTCAATTGTGAAGACTTGCCTCTTTCACTAGCCATGTTGTCAGCAAGAAATACAAATTGTGACTGAAGATGAGATGATCTTTTTAGTTACTGAGGATAATCCCTCTCTCACCCTACTCCAGTCACATGCACATGACTGCTGAATGCTGAATCCAGGAAAGATAAAGTTATGGCTTACCAATGATAATTTTTCTGATGATGGAAATTCCAGTTAAGAATGATGAATTAGATACATCAATGTTGTCAATTTCATCAGTGGGACCTTGAATGAACTTTGTTATAACCAAGGTTCAAGCTATAACTTAGGTAAAATTTCACATACCTAATTGACACTATGCCTGGACCTAATGCTCTTCATTGTTATAACTGAGGTTTCGTTATAACGGAGTTAAATGTAGTCTGATTAGAGGAAGTTAATGGAAGACTTTTGACCTTGTATGCATTCTGTGGATCTGAATACATATGAAGGCTTTCTGAAAATTGCAGTCCAACAGTTGCTTTGATCATATCATGAAATACAAATGCCAACTGTTAATTGCAAAAATTCACATTTTCATATGTTCTTTCTACACTGGATTGGTAATTCAAACTAAGGTGTGCTTTTAAAGGCATTAGCTTCAGGTTAAAAAAGGTGAGTTAATTTGCTTTTGAACTCAGGTGCCATATAATTATGATGGCACATATATTTAAATGCCTAAATTTATGGGGATAGTTTTTAACCATTTATATAACTATATGTAACTATAACTGAAGAAACTACCTGTATATCCAGTAAGGTGGAAAACTTGTTGCAATGTTTACAGCTTGACAGGATAAGGACAAGCACTGATCATGTTCCCAGAATCCAGCAAACCCATCCAGGATGCTGTTATGCACATGGACTGTAGTCTTGGTACATATAGAATTGTAAGTCTGTCCAACTAAACAATTTTTCTTGTTTTTCTTTCAGTTTTGATATCAGAGAGCATTGAGGGAGGAGACAAAGAATTCCTTCAGAAAACACTGAAGATCACAGATTTGGGTCTTGCACGAGAAATGTACCAGACCATGAAGCTCTCAGTTGCTGGTACTTATGCCTGGATGGCACCAGAAGTGTTCAAGAGTTCTACTTTTTCACCTGCTTCTGATGTATGGAGGTGAGGAGTCATCATCCATTTTTGGGACTTTATTTTTCTTGTAAGCTTAACTCTCACTCTACCAATGATATAAAAAGTACAAGCACACTAACTGTACCTACTATAGGTACTTTTTTCATAGCAAACCAAAATTTTGGCTGATAATTGTTGCATTTTTATATGCCTTTCTTAGACATTAAAGAAGTAAAGCACATAAAATGAAGACATGTGTATATTTGAAAACACAGGACTGAGTACTGTTTTAAAATTCATCTTGGCTGTTAATGTCAGTTTAAATCTTGATAAACTTAGGTTTTGCTACTAAATACCCTTTCTTTGTGAAGACTGAAGCAGGCAAAACCAGGATTGTCATTTTTACTTGGGTGGTTTGTGATATTCAGCAGTAACAGATTGTCAATGAAGGTGGAGTAGGCTCAGGCCTTCCCCACTTTCATTGACGATCCACTACTGCTGAATATCACAAGATGCCACTGCATTTTTATCGCACTCACAATGTAGCTATGGAGTGGTGCTCTGGGAGCTGCTGACATGTGAAATCCCATACAAGGGACTCAATGGTCTGGCTGTAGCATTCAATGTGGCTCAGAAGAAATTGACGTTGCCCATACCTAGCACTTGCCCTCGTGCATTCAGAGAAATATTGGAAGGTAGGCCTCCATGAAATATATTTTGATTTACTTTCCTTTTTCCATTATTTCTTAGCTGCTGTAGGCCTCCCTATAGTAAGTTTCAAAATGTGCAGGGTTGAAGTAGGAAATTTTCATTGCAGCATGTTGGCAGATGGATCCCCATGACAGACCATCTTTTGAGACTATTTTGGAGGGATTAGGAAGAATTGCCAAGTCCAATTGGGTACATACTCCATATGACTCCTTTCATCAACAACAGAATGGCTGGCGTCAAGAGATTGGCCTGAGGATGACTGAGAAAGAAAAGGTAGGATATTGTTTGGAATTCTCATTGCTATTGCTCTAATTATTTGAATATAATGCTTATTTTTATTTTTTGGAAAGATAATTAGACCAAAACTTATTGTGATCAATCCTGAAAAGCTTACAATAATTTTCCACATAAATTGAGTTTTGATCATCCTGTAGTTCCCTCTGAAAATAAGGCAGAGAAAGCAGTATTTCTGTTTAATGACATGAACATTTTGTGAATACAGATACCATCAATCATCATATTGTTTTTAGCTGTGTCATTGGCTTTGTTTTTGAAAATACTTTCCTCTTCAAGGCAAGCTGTATGTTAAGGAAAGAAAGTGAATTTTAAGGACCTGGAGATTCATAGTGGACCTATTTCCATTTCAATTAGACTTCAAAATACTTCAATTTGGCCAATCTAAGCTTTTTAATTTCCAAATTGTTCATTATGCTTTCCTGACTCTGACAAGAGGCATCCATTATGAGAAAGAATATGATCTGTCAGAGGAACTGTATTTGTACATATTTTTAAGATGGACACCAATGATACCTGTATATTTATGACTTGGATTGAAGTGGGTCATCAATTAGTCAAGTTAGCAAAATGAATTAGTGATAAATCCTGCTGGAAACAGCAGCAGGTGATAGCAACTTTTGATTTTTTTTTCTCCCATTCAATGTAGGAATTGAAATACAGAGAAGAGGAACTGAGAAAGATGGAGCATCAACAGAAAATCCAGGCAGAGCAACTTAAACGTAGAGAACAAGAGGTGGCAGCCAGAGAGATGGACCTGATAGGGAAGGAACTTTTGATGATGATCAAAGCTCAGGAGACTGCTCCAACACCAAAAAAACGAAGAGGAAAGTTCAGAAAGTCTCGTCTCAAGCTTATCCGCAACAAAGAAGGGATCCAAAAGATTAGTGGACCCTCAGGTGAGTTCCTCTTGGAGATGAATGGAAGCCTTTGCATGGGCCATTATAACAGTTCACATTAGACCTAATGCATATTATGACTAGTTCACAACAATAATGTCACCGCTTATCTCGCTTCTAAGCATTTCCTCTTTTTTGTGCTATGCATGGTGTTGTGTTTCAGTCCAGCATTACTATCAGTGGTTCATTGAGAATGGTCAGACACACCTTGATTGATTGTGTGTATACAATGAAGTAGAGCATGTTGAACTTAGGCTGGGTACCTTGCACTAACAGGAGGTGATATATGGACAAAATTAGTTACCGAACAGCTAAGAAGAGAGAGAATATGTTCAAGGGAAAGACCAGAGGAAAGAGGCATTATGAAATCAGAAGTTTTGAGGGATTCAAGAGAATTGAAGCAGCTAAGGAAAGAAAATGAAATGGCATATTGGCCAACATGGGAAGACCTTCATCCAGCAATGGGCAGTCTTAATGATCATGATTTCATGATTGCTTACAGGTGAAGATTCTTTAGATATTGCTGGGGTTCTAGACATCTAAGTGTAGAGACAGGCAACAGGCATACATCATTATACATTGAATGGTGCACTTGTTGTGAGCCTTTGATTAGATTGCATTTGTGATTTGTTGGGATACTAGGAATGCTTAAGGGAATCCACTCCCACTTGCAAATGACTATCCTAAGAAGTTACTCTGGTAATTGGTAGTATGGGAATTCAGGAAGTCTTGTCTCCGTGTGCAGAAAGAGAGCCAAATATAAATTCTCATTAGCACTAATTTCCTTGGAACAACACTCATAATTGGATGAGAGCATATGCAGGGGGAAGTAATTATGATCTAGAACCAGCCAGTGTAGGAAAAGAATTTTCCCACAAACCTGAGGCAACAAATTGGAATTTCCCAGGAGGAATATGCAAGCAGACTAAGTGGGCCACCCTCCTGCACGTCTCCATTCTCACGGACCTTGTTCACAGGTTTGCAAGGGTTTTCCTAGCTTGGAACCAGCTCTAGGCTGTCAACAGGCTGTGGAGAGCAGGATCGTAAATTGAAGGGGTCACATAGATTGTTTCATCTGTTTGCTCATCACAGCATGGCATCACTGATGCCATGATTCACAGGTATACAGGACAGAAAATGTATGATAGTCATATAATATATTTTTGAAAAGCAATACTGACCTTGAATGTGTACAGGAGCTGGCAAGCTATCTTTGTTATAAAACCTGATGTTTGTGTACAGAAGTTAGGACTACTTGTCCCTGTGACCCTATTCATGCCTGTTTGAGCTGCAAAATGGTGTGTGTGTGTTAATGTGCTGTTTTGGCTTTGCTTCATTGTTGGTCTGGTACCTGGATCCCCCTGCTTTCTATGTTGCAGCAGAGTTCCATCCACATTCTAATTTCCTTGTGGGTCATTTCCCTCCTCCTTCCCCCGCTGACATCAAAAGAGTCCATTTCATTCCTACCTATCAGGGTCAGTGCACACAGACATCCTCATAATGCCTTGGTTTTTTTTTACTCTTTCATATGCATGAATATGAACACGCACAGAATTGTGCTGACTCACATTGTTATCAGTGAAAGATTCTTACAAAATGAAGAATTCTCTTCCTTCAGACTTTCGACACAATTTCACCATACAACAAGCTCGAAATCACGTAGATGGCTCTAGACCTGCTCCATGTAAGTTCCATTGCATTAATGAGGAATTAGATCTTTAGCTTGTTGGAGAAAAGGTGGTGCACTCAGTCTTCTTGTGTCACAGTGAAGGGTAAAACATGGGGGCCTTCATCAATGCAGCCAAGAGAAAGAGCCCAGTTAAAGCCAAACATCTCATATGTTGACCAGAGCCAGAAGCGGTTCAGCACTTCTGCTCCAAATCTGGAGAAGGTTCGAGCAGCTGCAGCATCTGGAGCAATGCATTCACCTGCTTTTGAATTTCCTCAACCCTTCGGAGACCTTGGTGAGCAATTTCTGTCTGATTTTTCCATTCCTAGAACCATTCATTGGTTCATGATTAAAATCATGAGATGTTTTTGACTGTTATCGATGACATTTATGGCTTTCTCATTTCATGCTGCCTCAGTCTTCCCACGAGACTATTGGCAAATTGTCTGTAAGTCTTTTTTGAAATGAGGATCCTCTAATATCCCCTTTATCACCATTCAAGTTGGATATGATTTATGTGGTTGATGTTATAAATCAATTGCTCTACCCAGAAATTTCCCCTTGGCCTCCCCTCCTGGAAAAAAATTATATATATGGATTAGAGATGCAATTATATTGAATTTTGACTGATATCCTATAGGGTAGTGTGGGGTTAATTGGTCACAATTTTTCGTTTTTCTTACTCACAACCAAATATAATTATAAGAAATAATAACACGGAAAAACCTTTGGAACCTCAAACAGCCATGTCATTCAACTACCTATTCAGTCCAAAACGAAATCTGGAATATTGAAATATTAGCTTAGAGAATTAAGAAATTAACATGTGGTCGGCGTGACCAATTATCCCCAGGGGGTGGGGCTATTCGGTCACCTGTATTCCGTGTCAGTGTTTGCTTTAGTGCTCCATTCCAGGGGTTGACAGGTAAAAGAAAAAATACTTCCCAAAGTGCAGGTAGGCCTATCAGGACCAAAAAGCCCCACACCGCACTATAATTTTCAAATTTGGATGTAACACAGCAAAACCTCGATTTTAGGCACACAGAAAATGAATCGGGTGGTTCCATTTCAAATCAGGCACAGCCTGTCATGTCATAGTCTTTTATTTTTTTCAAAAAATATGTAATCCTCTCGTTCGAGAGATGAAATATGGTAGCTTATTTACTTATGCATATGCAATAGTTTCTGAGAAAGAAATTCATAAGTGGAAGGCTCTAAAACAGGCGATTTGCAAAATCCCTGTTTTCCCCCTCTTTCAATTTGCTGTATCTCCTAAACTAATGAACATAGATTTCTGAAAATAATTTACCGACATCTTGAAAGTACGTATTGTGTAGCCATTTAGAAGTAAGCTCTGTTATCATTTTCTAAATGCGTAATTTTTACTTTTCAATATGGGCGAAACTACTGAATTTGTTGGTTTATGGAGATTTTTTGTCAGTTAAATGTGCATCTGATATGGATTTAAATATATTTTCTACTAAACTACACAATTTTGCCTGTCTTGTTCCCCTTTGGCATTTCTATCATTCATACTGAATTTGATATTAATTGACAACTTTCATCATTTTCCAGAAAATTAGGGGAAATGAATTTTTTTTCCTCAAAGACCCCTTTGATTTCCTTCATTATCTTCATGTTGATTCTAGGAGGCATGAGCTATCACATAGTACAGAAATTTCAGAAAATGCAAGAAGACGAAGATCGTTCGCAAGCCGTCCAAAAAGCAGACTCTTAACAAGCCCAACTAGCAAATCGAGCTTGATAGCTCAGAGGGATCAAGGGATTGAAGGAGAGAAGAACGACATTTCTTTTTATTTGTGCTGAATATCGAAGTTTTGCTATGTTTCATTTGGAAAATCATAGGGTGGGTTGGGGCTATTCAGTCCCAATAGCTTACTCGTGCTTTGGGAAGTGTTTTTTCTTTTACCTGCCAACCCCTGGAATGGAGCAGTAAAGCAAACACTGACTCAGAATACAGATGACCGAATAGCCCCACCCCCTGGGGCTTATCAGTCACGCCGACCACATGTTAATTTCTTAATTCTCTAAGCTAATATTTCAATATTCCAGATTTCATTTTGGATTGAATAAGTCGTTGAATGACATGGCCGTTTGAGGTTCCAAAGGTTTTTCTGTGTTATTATTTCTTATAATTATAATTGATTGTGGAGTAAGAAAAACTAAAAATCGTGACCGATTAGCCCCACACTACCCTATACCAGCGGTATTCAAAGTGCTGCCACACCATGAAGTGGCCACAGTGGCCCACTTCATGGTTTTATGTGGCCCACTTAGATTAAATAATAATTGACTTTTCCCATTTAACTGTTTTACCAGGACTCATGAATTAATGGCGATGAGTACACTTTTAAATTCCAGATTTGGAATCTTATCACTGAAAACTTCCAATATTACATCCAGTTTAGTCATTGTTTAGATATGCAGATACTTATGATACATGGATACATTTAGATACTTATGTATTTAGATGTGCACCTGCTGAACTTGCCTACAATTCGGAGCATCCATATACTGCAGAGAAAAATGTACTTCCTTACAAGTAAATTAAGTTAGGGAGAAAAAAAAAAAGAGTATTTATTGAAAATACAACTTGCAACAAATCAGCACAGATGCATTTACATGAGCCCTGACTCCAAGAGGTGAATGGGTGTGTGGATGCAGCAGGAATAGGCAGTTTTTGATTGATGCTAATTTTTTTTAGGGGACTACCTGTTTTGGGATGTCTTGACCAAGAGGTCAACGGCCAGGTAAAGGGTTAACCATGTAGAAATGTTGGATCTTTTTCTATGCGGCCCACTCTTGGTTGACTAACGATATTAGTGCAGCCCACTCAAGGTGGACCAAAGTGCCCATGAGGCTCTCACCTCAAAAAAGGGGACTACTGCTATTTACCAATATTCCCATATTATGTCAGAAAAGAACTGATACTGATATCTGTATCCACACATTCAAGCCTTAACCCCTCCACCATTGAGTTTTATTTGGGATCAGGTCTGATGGTGAAAGCATGAGGTGCATGGTATCCAGTGGTGAGAAGAAATGTTTTCTTCATGCTGAAGCCAGGCTCTTCTTCAATGTGGATTTTAAAATATTACATTAGATTAATATTTGACATTTTCTTTACTTTTTTCCATCATAGAACCTGCAAGAAGTTGAAACCAAGTCTGCCTGATCTGGGTTCCACACCAGCATGTCCCACAGTGTTCCACTTTATTATAATATTCCTCACAGTTGACTCTTGGAAGTGCAAAGTCTTTTCAATCCTACACACAGTCATACATGTGATGTGACAACCAAGTTTCATTCCACATTCAAACTCTGTCAACCCCAATCCATGTGCCATTCTGGCAAACACTGACAGCAACAGATTGCAGATTACCTTTAGATTAACTTTGGACTACTGTAATGTCCTCTACAGAGCTCATGACCTCTGGGACAATCTTTTATCAATGGAGGCAGGCTTGTCCTGAGAGAGAGAGAGAGAAGTTTGAAGATTAGTGATCATGATATAAGGAGCTTACAATGTTATTAAGCTGTATGGGTTATTTCTATATTTATTGCTGCATCAATTATCTTTATGAATATTCAACAGTGTTTTCCAGGAGTAAAATATAAATTGGTTTTTCCTATTCTCAATTAGTGTACCAAAAGTCATGTCAGTGGTTTTATTTCTCTGCATTCATACATCACAGGAATGAAATATTTGTCTCAAGGTGTAGGGTTCATGCTTTTCTGATTTGTTGCTAGATTTTAGCTTACCAACTTTGTATGCTACTATTGATTTAAGATGGCAGATGCCAACTAAGATCTAAGATGTGTCAAAAGTAGGGCTGTACTGATGCATTGGTGAACACTGGTATCAGCCACCAGTATAACACCATCAATGCCATCTGCCATTGGTAGATTTGCAAGCTGCAGATGTCAATCAATGCTCAAAGATGGTGTTGAACAATGGAAAAAATAATTGCATGACCCAGGTTAATAAAGGACTCAACAACAATAGCAAAAAAAGTAGGGTTGTTGCAATGAGAAGCTGCTGGCACCCCTCCCACTGTGATGCATTGATGCTCCATCAGTTGTTATGGTCATTGATCTTTTAAAAAGAGACATTGTGACAGCCCAAAAAAAAAGTAGAGCCTGGCTTCGTACTAAGCTTATTTGAATAAGTATTCAGTATCATGGTTCTTTTCTCTTCCACAACATGTCACAGTTGGCATCAGCATCAATCCATTGGCCAAATGTGGCCAACAGTACAGTGCTAGTTAAAAGGAAGGACTGTGATTCTTGCTTGCAGAGTGTATCATTTTTGTCATCTGTGCTAGGAAGAATAATGTGTGCATCTAAAAGACCTTTATCTGGTGGGTGGGTAGGCAGCTTAATAATTAACTCCTTTCAAGACATCCTCCCACTCCCGTAACACTGTACATGATCACAAAGGTGAAGTACATTTTTTTAGTAATTTCATCTGCTATAAGAATTTATTCAATCACTGACCTTTGTTTTAACACATTCTAGTTGGAGTCTGTCTGTTGGAGTCATTGTAGTTGGAATCTGACATCTTAAATCTATAGCAGCACACATAGTTACTGCACAGTGGACAAAAATTAGCAACAAGTCAATAAAAGATGAACCTACACTTTCGTACAAAGATTTAACTCCTGTGATTTGTGGTTATAGACAAATATCACTGACAAGACTTACAGTACACCCTTGTATATATATTTGTGTATAAATATATAAATATGTAATTGGCATACATAAATTTACATTCAAAATTAACCAAATTTATCATCCTTACATTAAATTTCAGGGAAATAGTTGAAATGTGGAAATATTGAGTAGGGAGTGAGGTATTGAATGCATATAGTAATTAAAAGATATCTTGATTTTGTATATGACATTTTTCAGCTAAAAAGCTGATGCCCATTTGGGGATCATGTGACAAAAAAATCTGTGCCCTAATTAGTTAATGGCCTTCTTACCCCACAGACATAGTGGATGATCTCAATTGTGGAGAAACAGCAAGATACACAGCCCAAGCCATTCCCTATCTTCCGACACTCTACAATGGCTCCTGTGCTGATGTATCTTCTCCAGCAATGCCTGGCCAAAGGGGACACCGACCTAAAATGGGACTTGTGGAACGAGTTCTTTTCAACATGGGTGCCTTACTTGGCTCAATTGCTGCTGGCTATGACATTCGCATTTCCAATGTCTCTGCTGTTCATCCTCGTCTTCTTTCTGGAAGGTTTGTTTTCTAATTTGCATATAATTGCTGGTATTGGGTGATGAGTGCATATACAGTTTAATTATGAAGGATATTTTTTTAGCATGAACAGAGGGGAAGAAGAAGTGCCTGGTTGGTGGATGGAGGAAGGAACCAACCCTCTCCAGGAGACTGGAGCATCTGGCGACCGAGGCCCCATCCATCACACTTACCATGGGACTTCCAAACATATTCGGACACCTCTGTCTGCACTCCTTGGGGGGGACTCCATGGGTTATCAAGAGCCTGTTCAACAAAGAAAGGCTTCCATTGCCAGCAATGATGGCGAGGTAAATCTTAGTCCCTTCCTTCATTAGGAATCTCTTTCTAGTGTTGATTGCAAAAAAAAAGTAATTTTTGTAGCTGGGAGGATATGGGAGTGGACTGAAGGCTTCAGAAGATTCCTGGTACCCTCATGACTATGCCAGGGATCGCCCACCCTATGAACGCTATCCATCACGACCTGAATACTACACACCTTCACCTCATCATCACCGACATCCATACCCTGAATACTATCCTGAAGCCCCAAGTGACTATGTCAGCAACGTGCAGTACATGGAGAGAGTGTATCCGGAATATCGAGGTTTACGTGGTTATGACAATCCACCTGGTGCTGAGTCTCCTGCAAGGCCTGCCTACAGTCATAGACGGACCCCCTCCAATGTGTCCACCTCATCTAGCAATGTTAATCCCAGCTTCTATTTGGATGAAGATGATGGAGGTTCTCCTCCTCCACCAGCACCTGCCTCCAAGACCAGAGTCCCAAGGGAGGTGGAACGTCCAACACGATTAGAACTCCCACCCCCAAAGCCCTTTCGTTCAAGTCTTAGAAAACACACTGGAGATCGGCAGTGGGATCAGAGCGGGAGCCCAAATCCATCCACACCTCCTGACAGCTATGGCAGTGATGATTCCAGCTGTGTTTCTGCTAAAGACAGTGGCTTAGCTACTACATCTGGTTCAGGTTCCCAAACTCGAGTTCGTTTTTCTCCTGGCAATTTCAGTGGTAATTTATTGGACTCACCCCTTGAAGGGCAGGGACAAGACAGCAATGTACCTCTGCAAGTACCATCTCGGGGCCTCCATGGCTCCCGACCTCCTCCCTTGTCAGCAAAGAAGACTTCTTACAGGGACATCTTCCTCTGAAAATATGGTGGATTCACATCCAAGTACTTCTGTTTTCCCTGAGAGGTCTTGCGTGTGTTTTCAACATCTGGTGTCTCAGGGTAATTTCATACTCCTCCCATAAACTCATGTTTCATGAAAATCAAACGTCAGTTGTTGATTGCACTGGGATGTTTTGGTGCATTCAAGTTCAACATTTCAGGCATGTGATCAACAAAATTTCACAAAATTCCTGAAGGGTTTATTCTGAGTGCCATACAGGTACGAGTCTGAAATGGGCTTTCAATCTTAATTGTCTCATTCCACTCCTGTTGAAGGAGTTTCAGGTATTTATGCCATAATACGAGTACTGGAAGGGATATTGGCCCCTATTTTCATGCTTTTGGTTTTAAGCTGGTATTGATATTTTACATTATTGTTCTTTTTGGGGCATGATTCCTAGGTCTAAGCTCGAATATGTATACAACAGTGCATGCATGCAAGCACTTGCCAACAATGTGCATGGCTGTCATCACATGAAATGTGATATTTTTGTGCCCCTTCTCCCCTCATTTGCATGGAATACGTATTTTGGAGGAATCATGTTTTAAAATTTTCATTCCAAATTCCTCCTCTGCTTGGAGCATATCGTGATACTGCCTTCTTGAGTAGTTTATTTTTTCCCTTCTCCAATGTGCTTGATACCATTTGTGTTTGCTGCCACTTGTCATGACACTGGCAAATTATTCTATGTAATTATTTGCCAGAACATTTTTGTTGTGACTGTGTGATAAGAAACATCATTTACATTCCCTTAATGATCTTGAGTCACAAACCCAAATATTACTTTGTTAATTTGATTTCGTATGGCTTTTTTTTTTATCCATATGAAAATTGGTGCAATACAAGGAAGGAATGGACCAAGTAGGTGTATCTACTCTGTCTACCTCTGCCACGAGAACACTTGCCCCGGTACTTAAACAAGTCGGCACTGAGTCTTAGTTTCTTCACCCAATGTGATGGTGTAATAAGTATAATTGCATCAAATTTTGGAGTGGGCATACCAAATCATGTCAACCCACAACCTATCAACCTTTAGCAGTCATTCTCCTCCATTCAAAGGATTGCAGCATTCATCTTTTACATGCAAGTGTTTTGATACTCCAACAGCTGATGTCAATGTAAGATAGATGGGGAGTTGTAAATACTTAAATTCCCTTTGATGCAATCCATCTTTCTGGAGTTCCAACAATGAATACATGCCAGGTTTTTTTATAAATAGAATGCATTGAGTGGAGCAAATAGGAACCTGTTCCCTTGGCTATGACATGAGGTCTTTCTCTTTATGGTACTTAATCTTATTTTTTTCATGCGCTCTTCATCTCTTATCTGTTGCATCTATCTCCTCTTTGGAAGAGGAAACTTTATCTTTTAAGAAAACTGAGAGACATATTATGACACTGATAGGTGAGTGCCAATTGAATAAAAGGAAAATAAACCATGGGGTCCCATATCTGACTTTTATTCAATGCTTGGGATCCTCTCCAGTTCATGATACACATAGAACATAGAAGTTTCAAAGACAAATTGCAGATTTAGTTTCATACATGACACGATTTGGAAAATACTGAAATTTTTGAAGTGAAAGGAAAGCAATGGGGATGAATGTCACTTCACATGAAATGCCCAAAATTATTTTCAAATTGAGAATATAACTGAGGAAAAGTCACACCAAATGCTACAATGACAAGCTCCACCATACCATTGGGAGAGGAATCCAATAAATTAGCTACTCAGCTAGCTGCATAAAGACCTCTTTGTCAAACATTCAAATACACTCATCCACATTCATACATTGATGGAAGCACAGAACTCTGAAATCCATCGGCTGCCCAGGACCATTCATTTCAATCTTAACATTTTTGGACTAGATAAGGGGGAAAAAAAATTCACACACTAACGAACACCAGTAGTCTGTCAAGCACTTGCACCCTGTACATTCAAAGTAAACAGGGGTAGATTTTAATGTTAGTTGTATGTAAATCGCCTCTTCTCCATCAAGGATTTGGCAGTGAAAACGTTCAGAGTCTCCTTCGTGGGTGAAAGTAATCAGAGTGGAGTCGGTATTGACAGATGTCTCCAGAAACCACAGAACTGGGTTTTTTTTCCCATCATGGAAACTATGAATGTAATGAAATTATGTGAATCTGAGGTTCCCTTTGGTTAGCAAATAATCTGAATGCAAATGCATGAAAACATAAGTAGAGCCCTAAGATGGTGAAGGCTTCACTACAAACACCACACACTTTGTGTGGAGAAACAATAACAGTCCCTCTGTGTAGGTGTGGATTGAATTTGCCTAATTGGTAGTAGAGTAGAGAATGAAGGATTGAAGCTAAGGGAGGCTTTACAGGTCAGACTCTCCATAGAGAGCAGTTGAAAAGGACCTGTAATCAAGAGCACTGGCTGGGGCCCCTGGACCCTTGTAAGGGGGCATTCGCTGGATGCAGTACTCTGCCTGGTCAGGAGGCAGCTCCCTCCTCAGCTCCTCAGCTGTTATGTAAGGCTAGGATATAAGAAAGCAAACATGTCAGACATGTTATGGGATAAAAACATGTCATTCTCAAGCATAGAAGCCTTGTCAGGAAGATATTGTCATTACTCTATGACCTCAAGTTCAGTCAAAATAGATATAATCAAATCTTCAGGAAATGTAATGCTGCACTAAGTCCTACAAGTGACATTTACCTTGTCTCCAGCAAGGATGCGGAAGGAATCTATGACTTGTTCTGCACTGTCAGTGTCTGTGGACTCCCGAGTCATGAAGTCTAGGAAGGCATCAAATGTCACGTATCCTGATCGATTTGGGTCCACTACTGACATAATCCTCTGGAAGTCCAATTCACCCTTCATGAGAGAGGAAGAGAACATGAAGTGAACACTCCATGCAACAACATGGTCCAACCATCAAGTCCATTTCTTTCACTTTCAAGAGCCAGAATTCCGGTAGTCATGTGGTGACGATTCAGAGCATGTGACAACCCATTGGCTTGCATGACCTTGAAATAATTTACTATTTCACAATATGGTACGACTATGAGCAGGCAAGTGGGCAGGTCTAGACCAGTGTAGGGATTGCAATGTACACTAAGTCACAATTAATACTCTAACAGGTCTAAAGAAATAAAAATCACACCAAAATGTTTAGTGAAGTCCACATTTTAACTAATAGTCCTTTTTTGTGTGGCATGTCTGAGGAAGAAGGGTGGCAAGACAAGATATGTGTGTCAGTCATACCAAGTTCCACTTCATAACAGGGGACTGCTTTCAGGCATGCCACACAAAAAAGGACTAATAGTGAAGGTGAGGATTTCACTGAAACATTTTGGTGTGATTTTTATTTCTTTAGACCAATTAGTGTATTTATTGCAATTCTTTTAAGTCTTAATTTTTGACCAAAATGGCTGGGCTGTGGGGGATTGTTTAGTTTTAAGTATACCAAGGCTGAATGTGTTAAAAATGACAGTTGATGATCTTGTGCCACCTATTGACAAAAATTTTTAACTATGATGAACCTGTATCTTTGTAGAACAAGCAAAGAGCATTAGCACGGCTGACCTCATTCAGAAATCCAGCTAAAAAAGTTTGAAGATTGTCATGTGTCAGATCAGAGATATCCAATTCTGGACTACTGGGAAGGAATCCCCACATTGAAAATCTCCAACTGCAAGTGCAAAAGTGTTAAAAAAAAAAAAAACACAGGTAAAACATTACCAGCTCCTGCCATTATGTTGGGCTAAAAACTTTTTGAAAACCCCTAATATCACAAGCAAATAGTTATTTCCCAATCCACCTATATTTTCCATTTGCAACTACATGCATTATGAAACTACACAATAATGAAAATTTTCTTTAAACTTCAGAATTCAGCCATAGAGACACAATTTCAAGATGGACACATATATGCCTCAGCCAGGACAGTCATAAACTCCCACAACATAGACTGGTTGGAAGTACCAGTGCATCAAGCAGAAATAAGTGGTCAAGGGAATATCCACAATTTTCATCATTCAGACACATGCAAGTTGGCAAGACGAGACAATGAATGCCACCATGATACATAGGCTGATCAAAAAGAACAGAACTTTGACTGTAGCTCAAAGAATGCTTGTTGAAATCATTGGCCACTCTACAGGCATCAACTAAATTCACTTTGTGACTCAGGGTAAAAATTTCAGTTGTATTTTATTTAAGGAATACTGTTGGTGATCCAAAGAAATTGCCAGTCAAAAACTTTTGGCAGATTTTACTGGAATGCCAGTGCCAGAGCAGAGGGTAAACATGGAGCTCTGAAAGTCGTTCACTAAGGCTCTTGAGCTTTTGCAGCAAGTGTACCTATGTACAGCAGGTGCTTGAAGCATGTGTCTGTGCATACATTTGCTGCAAAAGCTAGAGAGTCTTAGTAAACGATTTTCATAGCTTCATGTTTGCTCTCTGCTCCAGCATTGGCATTCCAGTAAAATCCACCAAATGTGTCTAGCTATGGCAATTTATTTTTATCACCAACAGAGTGAATACAGTTGACCCTTGTGGCCAACAATTTCTATGAGAATTCTTTGAGCTGCAGCCAAAGTTCTGTTCCTTATTGATCAGCCTACATAAATGCAGATGTGGCCACCTTGAGGTTGGTGTCTTCTAAGCACTTCCCTATTGAAAAATTAGCTTCCCATTTCACAATAATGGATGCTCCTAAGAAAACGAATGCAAGGTGCCTGATTTGAACAACTGAATCCATGGTTATATGCCATTCATAGCATTTCTCAGGAAATTATTCTATTTTGAGTTATGGAAACGGAGTTTTCTCCCAGGAGAAAACATTAATTCTGATATTAGACAGGACAGATATGGCTTCCTTTGTGAACTTCTTCACTTGAAGTCATAGACTTCAAGTGAAGAAATAAAGCATTCCAAAGACATCTGCAATAGGTGAAGTTTCTGGAAATAGAGGATTTAAGCCAGGTCTTTCGTTACCATACCTGTCGATCTTTGCCTATGCTGTAACCAAGGGAGACAAGACAAGACTTGTATTCTTCTGGTGGAAGCCTTCCTTGACGATTCTTATCAAAGTGATTGAAGCTGGCCCTGAATTCATTCAGTTGCTCCTGTGGAGATAAATAGATAATCATGGCAAGAAGAAACAGAGACAGACCAACAAGAGGAAATTGAATGGAAACAAGCCTGTGTGATGCCCTTTGAGTCCCTTGTGAGGATTTGATTCTCTACCTCATTGATGTTCCTGTTGATGGATGTAAGGAGCTGCTCCCAGCCAACTCTCAAAGTTTCCATGGTGTACTGAGTGTACCTAATGGAGAATTTAGTAAGAAATACCTTTTTCTCATGCTGCTCAATAATTATCAGCTATGGAAAGGGCACTCAGTGCCACCAATTACAAAGGCTAACATTTTGGAACAACTCTCCCAGGTCTAATAGCTAACATTAAGCCTCATCTATGGACAATTGAAAAGTTACAAGCAAGGAGATATCAAGCAATACCATGTAAATTGCATATTATTTTGTCATGTTGTTGTATGATTAATATGCAATTTACATGGTATTGCATATTATTATTTTGTCATGTTGTATGAATAATATGCAATACCATGTAAACTGCATATTATTCATAAAGCAACATGACAAAATAAGCCATACTAATATAGGGGAAAAGGATTCAGCCTTGAATTCCATTGGTCTCAGAATGTCTCATGTTGCAGAATCAATCTGGAACAATGCAGATACTAAAATGTAAGTAAGCTATGCTCTACTTATCCTCTGGCATTAAAGTAACGGAAATGCAAACTTACATGCATATATTCATCCAATAGGACTTTAAAAACCAATTTTTATTATCTTGAGCTTGCTTAACAGAGCAAAAGAGCAATTCATAGAATATTAATTGATTCTCTGAAGTCAAGTAAATGAAAAAAAGTCTTCAACTGGAAGGTTGAATTCAATTTTTAAAAGTAATTGCCTACCTTTGAGCTTTGCAATAGATCTCAATCCAAAGAATGAAATGACTCATTCATTTTTATGAAAAAGCTGAGTCACTGGCTTTAATTTCTCTGAACAGATATATGGCATGCAACACATTCAAAGCATCTAAATCCTATCATTGCTCCTGCCATTTTACCTTGAGCAAACAAATGAACTCCATGCTACAATCCTTCAAAATTTTGTTTTGCATCAATGAACCTTTGATTATTCATTTAAAAAAATATATGAACCACTATGTTCATTACCTCAGATCATTTTTTTTAATAAAAAAACACACACATTGGATTTCCTGTGAGGTACCCAAGAAGTTCTTGAATCCAAAATTTGAAAGTCCCATGCATTGTATCTCTCACAGGAATTCCAATGCTCTTCCCAGAGATACAAACTGCAAAAACTCATTAATTTCATCCTTCCATTATTTTTCCAGTTCTCCAAAACAAAATCTGGAAGAATACTTATGTAAAAATAATTTTAAAAAATTAAAAAGGAAATAAAAGTCTATACCAAGATCATGTAGCAAACTACAGTAGTATGATGCCACATTAGCTCTGGGCATGTTCATATCATACATTATGAGGTTTTTTTTATTAATTTTTTCATTTAATTCACCTGTTCTCAAAGATCATGCTTTCTTGCACTGCCTGATGGATCCTTTCCAGCTCTTCAATGTGAGGCTTATAAGCACATACTGCCTGCTCATACTCTTTCAACTTGTGGAGTTGGTCCTCTAGGGCTCCCTAATAAATGAAATCCATCATTCCAGTCTAATATCAATTCTGGAAAAAGACTTGAAGGTATTCCAGTGTCAACATACATGCATGCCCATGCCAATTGAGGTGACAGCATCCATCTGCCGTTCCATCCAGGGACCCACAATATTGGCCTTCTCTGCAAACTGCCTCCTGAGGCTCTCATATTCTATATGCAGAAAGAGAGTATGACTTGGTGAACAAAATTTGTGGATGAAGAACATCTGAAAATTAGAGTCCTAAGTATTCACTGCAAACCTTGTTGCTTCTGCAATTCAGACTGGAGAATGTGGTCCCTTTGTGGTATCAATTGTTTCACTGCATTCCACTTCTTAGTGATATCCTGCCAAATAAAAAATATTAAAAAAGTAGTAATGACAAATTATGATCTTTCCATATTTAAAATTGCAAGATTGTAAGCAAACAAGTGATGATGATGATGCCCTGATTCACTCACACTGATATGGATGGAACAATAAGGATTCTCCATGTGACTGATACCATTGCGCTTAGCTAAGGATTCAGATTCTTGCTGGAGATGGACAATGTTGTTAAATTCTCTGTCAGCCTCAGGGATGGTATTCTTGAACTGTGCATGAGCCTCAATAAGGCTCTGAATTTCTCCAATGGTGTGCACAATAAATGTGTCAACCAGGTCCTCTCGTGTCCCATCCAACCAGTTCATGAATGGCTGCAAATGAAAGCATTTTGATCACATTTGGTATTCTTTTCACATACTTCAGGGCAATAAAAATATAACTTGGGACTCACTGATGCACGTTTAGCATACTCAAGGTTGAGCTGATCTATCCTCTCAAGCACTTTCTCAGCATCAGTCATGGCATTCCTCCTTTCTTGTGTGAGGGTCCCAAGCCGATCCCACTGTTCACAAATTCTTTGGCATCGCTTGTTGATTGTAGCCACATCATGGTACTTCAGTGTGCTGTGAAGGACCACAAATGCCAGAGATTGAGGACAGTTTGCAACTAAATGGATGCAGATGCATGGATCCATTCATACTTAAGCTCTTGAGCAATGGCTGCAATCTGCTCCACCCTTTCCTGATGAGCTGCAAGATCACTTTCAAAGGCCTCATGTTTTCTTCGCATTGCTCTCAGAGCGTGAAGAGGCACTTGTCGGTAGTCCTGAGACTTCAGGGAATCCTCTTTTCCTACTGACCATTCTTCATGCATGGATGCCTTGTGATTGAACTTCTGCACCAGATGATCCAATCTTTCCAGTCTACAGATAGAAGCACAATAGCAAACCTATAAATTACTAAATTATGCTTCCTTGTTTAAGCTAGAACAAAGTGAGGATGACTTGCCTGATCATTTCAGAGAGTAACCATTCCTCAAACCCTTTTTCTGCGTTCTCCAATCGTTTCCATGCATTTGCTATGTCCTACACATTAACAGAGCTTACAATTCAAACCAGAAGTAATTGCATGGATAGGAGTGCATTAAGGGCATTATACTTACTGAGACCATCTTTCCTTCTGTGGGCATATATGCTGGACGATTTGACAAGCGAAGTTTGGTTTGCAATGTGTTGAAATTGGTCTCAAGTTTGGCCTTTTGCTCAACACGAGGTGGCTTGTGACGCCTCCTGTACGCTCGATACTCCTCCAATTTCTTTCGAGCCCCTGCAACGGTGTTATCCGTCACCCGAGACTCCAACCAGGGTAGTGTTCGTCGAATCCATTCCAAGAGCTACCACATCAAAGTCTGGCATTTGTCACAGAGTCCCATGCTAGTATTCAGTCATAAGGAAAGAAGGGAGGAACTCTCACATCACTAGCTAGTCTCTCATACTCTTCCATGAGACGCTCATTATCCTGGTTCACCCGCAAGACCTTGCAGATGCGGTTTGCTGCAGTTTCAGCCTGATTGAGAGCAAGCAAATTACATGTGATTACTCTCATCACCATGTTGATGTAATCTAGCATGCAATGCCAGGCAGTAACTTTGAAAATGTGATGGAGAATAATAAATAATTACATTTCTGAGGACAAGAAAATTCAGTTCCACTCCAAGAATTTTCAACAGGAAGCAATTCTTCTGCCAAAAAAGTTCACTGAAATTTCTTACTTTCGTACAGTCAGGAATTACTTCCCTTCTCCAATCTGCTTAAATGGGTAGACTTCCTTTACACTGTTTCAATTAGCCCCTTAAGTGATTATGACGTATATATCCATCGTGGCGAAATGTTTCCAAGGTGGGTTGGACATTTTTTTGTCATACTAGATTTCACGTTTGAGTTAAATAAGAACTCAAACCTCTAAATAGGGGTATAAACTCGAAAAATAGCAGTACATTTTTTTCACATATATTAATTATAGCTCTAATGAAAAAAAGTTCTAACTCTGGTGGTAGACTACTATCAGAGAAATTCCCCACTTGAGGGGGTTAAAGCTTCAGCATTTAATCAAATCACAACTGGCCATTTAAAAAAGTTACATATTGCAATTACAGTACACTAGACTCATTAAACTGAAAATGCACTTCATAATGATGAGGTTAAATCTCCAAAATAACATAACTTTTACTTTCAGCTAATTACATTTCCATTCAAGAAACTCTGACTGCAACTAGCTGCTCCTTAAAGCAGCTTACCCAACAATGATTGGTTCAATGGAGGTTCCATCAGTATGTGCAACAGTTAAAATGTACCACATTAATACAAGCAAGCAACAATTATGAAAGAGAGGCTAGTGTCACACCCTTACCTTCTGGACTCCAGTAAAACAATGGTAATAGGAAGACACATAAGTCATCACAGCACGCTCATCAGGCATTGGGGAATTGGCTATATCTGGAAGTAAAAGTTATCACATCACATGCACTGATTAGTCTACATCTAAATTAACAACAGGATAAGTTTTTATTAAAAAATTCAAAACTGGCACACATCTTGAACACAACACCATGCATTCATGCCACTCAGACTAGAAGTACTTGCCACCTGTGAGCATCATATTTACAGACACTGCAGAGAACTATTTTTTCCCATATTAAGAATCAGCCAGTACAATGACCATATAGATGTTTCCCTTGATTTCAACAATGTAATTTTTATTCTGAAGGATTGCAGAGAATGTTGATTGAATCTATACATTAATCTTACTTCTTGTAACCCTTTCCTATGAGTGTGATCCCAATGACTTGCATTTCTTTATTGGGCTTCTGAGTGATAAAGTTTGCATATTTCCTATGCACCTGATATTGCCTTGTATCATGAGTCTAAACAAAAGGTTAATGGGCATAAAACATTCCACCAATGCATGCCCTTATGTACTGGGGATACTGTCTCCATGTTAAAGAGGTTGGGAGATGAGGATGAGTGAAGAGAAGGAATAGAGAGAGCAAAAGACCTGCTGGGCACCCTGGAAAGCATGGTAGTAGCACGAGACATAAGTCATGATGGCTCGCTCATCCGGCTTTGGGGTATTGATCAAGTCTGCAATAAGCAGGGATACAAAATGGTCCAGCGATTTCCCATCCCTTGAATACCAACAATAGAGAGAGGAAGACAAAAAAGGGAGACACCCTCAACCTCCTCTTCCTCAACCTGGCCCATTGCCAATGTGTCAAATGAGTGACGACTCATCTGTCACGCATAGGCTGTCTATTGACAAGTCCAGGTTTGTAATTAGATATGCTACTGCTGAGAATAGATCCCTTCAACCAACACTTTTGAACTAGACCTACCAGTACAATAAGATTATCTGCAAGTATATGCTATATGTTGAAATCAATATTAAAATTATGCATTTGAACTTCATCTCTTTTCTTCTATCTTTGTCCCTGACAAGTATAGCAATAACATACAAGGCATCTAGAGCTACCTTGGGAAATGCATACTTCTTGTAGGAGTAGATCTATTTCACCTTTAATACCATGACAAGCAATTTTCACAACCTCTTTTGAGGGTAAGCATGATAAAATGATAGGTCTATCAAAATGTCTCAGGGCTAAGAACTAATGAGAAGAGTGAGTTGACTGAAATTGGAGGAATGTCAACGGATTGATTGCATAAAGTATACATATGATGGTTGACACTCTAGTGCCTGCAAGAGTGTGCCACTAAAAAAACATGTTGCATTTGAGCAAGGGCCAACCCCCAGTCAAGAGACAAAAAAAAACACAACACGATGTGACCTTCAAACTTTACATACTCCGCAATGGTTTGATCCTGTGTCTCACTCTTGCCAGCAGTCCCAAGGCCAAAGCCTTCGTAAGATAGATACTACATTCCTGAAGACTGCTAACTCCTAGTCTTTCCATAACTGAAAAATTAATGGTAACCTGAAAAATGAGTTAAAAGAAATTGCAAATGAGAGACTAACCCTCAGGGTCCAACATTCGGGGGATATCAAGATACTTCTCAGCAACATCAAATGCAAGGTTCAAATTCTCCCAAGGATTATCCTGCAGGAAGACAATGAGATCATTGTAAATTCCCAAGTGACCTTGTAGATGAACTCTAGCAATTAAAACTAATGAGAAGGTACAAAATAAATATATATATATAAAGACACTCTTACTTTGGACAGCTTGTGATAATCAATGAGGTCGGGTCGATGTCGATGAATAAGAGCACAGAAGGCAAGACCATCCTTGAAACTGTAAGAGAGGGCAAACCCAGCAAAATACAAGAGCAAATGCGTGGAAGTGGGGAGTTTCGTGTTAGCTGGCATGATATGATAAGAAATTGTGTGCTTTCCTTTATCTATATCATCTCATGCTCATACCTGGAACACGGGATGGAAATTACCTTGTGTGGAAATTCTGAACATTGACATTCTTGTATGGAGCAGTTTTTCGTTGACACCACAAGAGAAGACCTTCCTTAGCAGTCATTTCTTCAACAGAAATGTCTTGGATGGCAAAACGTAAGATGATTGTCCAGATCATACCCAGTGTCATCTTCAGGTTCCCATCAACAATTTCTGCCAAAGTCCAAACCACAGTGATCCATCAAAAAGCCACTGTAATCATCATGTTCATAAAATCAAAGTCCTACAGATCTATCATGCCTGAAGGAAAGGCATTGAAAAGAGGAAGAGGTATACACCTTGCATACTGCAGACCAAGGGATGGGGTATCAATATGGGAATAATATGTGTCTTCTGACCACAGCTATCAGCAATAAGCTTTCTGAAGGAGATAGGGCAAGGAGATGAGAAGGGATACCTCTGCCACAAACATTCCGCAGGGGAGTTTATCATATCACATGTGGGAAAATTAGAAAAGCAAACAGAAAATGCGTGTGAAAAATGATATTATGGCCAACACCCACAAAAATACATAGCACTGTTATGAAAAAAAAGACCAAATATGTCAAACAATTTCCTTCCCATGCAGTAATAATGGAGAGTGCTCATACAAACCTTCAGCTCCAATTGAAACTAGTTTCACGCCCTTGCTGGCAATGAAATCAAGAGCCTTGTTTACATTGGCTATTTTGTGGAACCTCATTTTTCCCCGGTCTGGTTTTGGGAGAGTTTCCCCTGAGATGACCTCAAGCAACAGCATAAGCTTCAGCCCATTGCGGAAATCTTCTTCTATCACCTCAATCCCTGTTCCAGCCTTGCGCAAATGGGAGTTGCACCATGCCGTGAAAGTCTGAAAAGCAAAAATTATATTTTTCAATTGCTGTCCAGCTTCTTCCTCCATTCTACTGCAATTGCCTTGTACTACAGCACAACAAAAAGTGTATTTTAAGATTACATAGTCCTATTAAAAGTAAATACTGGGAGAAACTGTAAGGTAACAACTTTTCCCTCAAGAGGAATAAAATATAAAAGGAGGGAGAAAAAATAAAAAAAAGTACTTTAGATCACAAATCATGTGAACACATCCAGCATCGATCAAAGGTCGAAAGATCAAAAACATCAACCTTGAACTTTTAATTCTCCCAAATGAACAAGCTTGCTTGGGAGCAATATTAGTCTTCAGATACCTCCCACACCAGTCCAGAAGTCTTGATTGCACTCTCTTGGGCAGTCTACAACTGATATTGACAAACTTGCTGACTTAAACCAATATACAGTCATCTTAGCAAAGGCAATCAAATTACATGTATGTGTTCCCCAGTTTGGAAATGACAGATGACAACAACAACAACAACAAAACATTTGTAAGACCTTTTGCTTTTGCCTTCAATTTATGGACAGTAGAACTATTATGCCAATTTTCTTTGAAATTTTGATCTGTATATGTGAGAAGAAAAACGTAGACATTATACATGCACCTGGGAACACTAAATAGTTTGATGCCATGCCAATTCATGTGGAATAATCAGTTTTCCATGAAGTATAGAGGAGGAGCATGTATTTATTACTAGAGAATTAGATGTAAGAATCAGAGTAGTTATTTTTACTCTTATCTGGACAAACCAAACTGGAGTGAATTCCTTGCTTATCATCTTGGCCGACCGTGGAAGATGAATTTTGACTTCAAGTTTCATTATCATCACGGAAAAAAAACTAAGGGCTTCAAGACTTTCTTTGAATCATATTCTACACTTAAATTCATGTTTTCATGAGCTGAATCAATGAATAACACCACACAGGGGCAGTTTGAATTAGAAAGTCGGCAATTTCATTTTCAGGAAACGCTAAAAGGCTGCGTTGCTCTTTAGAAGATACATCATACCACTGTCAGCTGAGAGTGATGTCAATGTAGAAACCACTGTCAGACCTCCCATCTTTCATATTTTAGTTTTCCACGTACGGTGATGAATTGACACCATAGATTAGATGTTCAAGTCTCCATCGTAGAGATCTGCTTCTCTCATACCATGGAGTTTCCGTACCATAAAGTATCAGCACAAAAAGGCCTAAAAAGGGAAATATATTCGATGAATGAGGTCCAACATTATTCAATGCCTTCCCAGACGGATCTCTGCCACTAATGTAATTCTCAAGAAAAAAAAAAGAAAGAAACTATCCACAGATAAAGGCTAGGGGCGATACAAGCTGCGACCGACCTAAGGTCACCCGCAACACCAACTACCAGCTAGCGTTGTTCGAAGCAAGTTCTGCGGGCGGCGGCGAAAGATCATTCCTTTCTTTTACCTATCAATAATCCATCTCCCAAAAAAAAAATTTATTTTTTAAGATTGATCAGTGTCCCAAAGTTGCTAAGGAGAGTACACGATATGGCAGTTAGGTACAGACAATCTTCGCAAGAAATAAGCTTGACCTACTACTAGTACCTTGACACCATAAACTGACGTCACGACACAACGGCCCGGCCAGCGTTGCGTGGATGAATAAAGTTGGGAGGAGGCATGGGAACTCTGGTACAGTTCTCAAGCATTTCATGCGTGTTTTCCTTCTTACTTTTGCTTCTTTTTTATTTATTTGGGGAGAATGTGGTCCTACAGCCAGCCCGCTTCCCTGAACACCCTTCATCGGTGCGCTGAAATCCATGCATATTTTTTTGTTCGATCTACATACCTGTTGAGTAGAGCGAACGTTTAAAGAAACACAAACATATATGTTTCGCCATGATAAGATTTCATGAATTTCATAAGACCAGGAATGCAAGCCCGTCATGGATGGGAGCATGGATAGGATATGATGGAAGAAAGTTCCATCATCCACAGACATTGGTGTCGAGTTTCCAGTAGAGTATAGGCAGGGGCCATAAGGATAAAACAAAAAATGCCTTCACTCTCAATCTTCACAACGCAAACAGGGTGGAGTGCATTCTCCCCTGAGCTCAGGCCTATCTCAGGAAACTTGAGTGTCTTTATCTCATTCGATAAATCCCCCTTCATTGGGAAAGCATTTCAAGCTCGTTTCGTGTATGCAATGCAAACTCATGACAGGTGTCCCCTGATTTTGCCTTGACCGAGAGAAACCTCTGTACGGCGTTCTCGTAGGAGCATAAAATTGGCATCACACGAGGGCAGAAAGCTGAGCTTAGAAAATGTGGGATATATTAAAATTCCGACACATGAAAGCGAGAAGGAACGATGAGACCGAGATCGAGAAACAAGTTCTACAAGACTACGAAAAAGGACCTTAGTGGCAGAATGCCAACTATTTGCGAGAGTGTGCGAGAGAGGGGGAAGTCAGGCATGCATGCATATTCTGACGGAAGTTTTTGGTCTACATTCCTTATCTCAAAAGGGACATTTTATCGACCCCTATTCAACACCGACTATAGAGAACCCTAGTCGCATCCGTATCAAGTGGGCTGGCTCTCCGTTTCAGTAGGCCTACCGGTACTTTTTAACTGTTCTCTTGGATCAGATACAGCGTAGCAGAAAAAGCTGGACTCGTGTGGGAAATGAGAAGGTCAACGACATGGCTTCGAAAGATTCTTCTTTCCACATGAGCAGGCGGCATCATGAACACCTTGGTTCCCAGATAGACATCGGGATAAGTGAGAAGAGGATAAAAAAAAAAATTCAGAGCGATGGGAGAAGGGCTGCGGAGTGAAAAGGCTCATTCACCCCCTTAATGACGGGAGGGTGCCGAAATTCTGTCAAGGTGAAAGACTGAAACACTGTGTAAACTACCTTGGTCTCTTGATGGAGGTATTCTTGAACCGTCAAGTCTCCCTTGATGGGTACGATTTCCCTTTTCCTCTAATCTGCAACTAGAAGCTACAGCTCACCCTCAGTATCTCTCCCATTCACTCCCATTAACCAAAATTCCATATGGCTTGGGTTCTACCATTTTCACGCTCCATCGAGCGAACAAGTTCATCCTTTTCCATTCGGTCCAATTCTTCCTCTTCGCTCCAGATGATCTTCAATCTCCATGACCGTCCTCATATTCAATCTCTTTCCCTGCCTTTTCGATCTCAGAGAATATATCTGTTGCTTCATGTCACGAGTACTTCCTCTACGACCGCCATCACGAAGCAACTCGTTGATGTCCCGATCTATCTATCATATATTGATTTTTATGCAACCATATAGCAAGGGGTATCATACTCCTTCAAGAAGAGGCAGAAGAGTTTCCATTCGGGAAATTGTAGAGCTCCTTAAGTGTCCCACTCGACACACTTGAGGAACCTCAGTCCAAAAACGTGAGATCCATCTGGTCAAGAAGCATGTTCCCCTTCTAAGGTAAAATCTTGAAGTGGGGAAGCGAGCCTTTCCTCGACTAACGAGGTTGCCTGAATAGACTTGCTTGGCAACAGGTGCGTTCTGACACAAGGCGGAAAGACCAGGCGGTAATCGGTCCCTTGCCGAAGAAATTAACCGAGGAAAAGTTACATATCCTGAAATAAGCGCAGAGCACGGAGAAGGATTTCATTGCCACCCGTGACCTGGCAGGCGGGTGACGTCACACTATGAATCACCTGGAAAGGGCAGAGGTGTATACGAGGGAAGAATTCATTCTTAGGTGGGAGGGGGAGGGAGGAAGGAAAAAAAACTAAGAAGAGAAGGAATTGGCATGAGGAGGAAGGAGGAGGGCGGCTATACCTGGATGCAGGTATAGCACTGTGGCACGGGCACGGGGAGGCAGCCAAAAATAGAGGACCTCGCGCCAGCCACACAACTCACCAAGAATTCGTACACACTCTTGATCAACCTAGGAGGGAACTTATTTACAAGTATTTTACTTTTACTGCTGTGCATGCGGGTGAATTTTGTACATTTTCAGATCAGCTTCTCAAAAAGAAAATTCAGGAAAACCATTCAATAGACAAGTCTTGCGTCAATTCATCGGGAATACAGTATTTGGCCAATACTTCAACTTTTACTTCTGGTCAATAATTGGGCCAGGATACGTTTTTAATTACTCTCATACTAGTTTTATAGCTTCAATATCTAAACTTTGGATATTTAATTAACTTAAAATACTTTTCAAATTACTTCCTGATCCCATTTACATTTATTTCTTGGCAGCTTGACTTCTCGCTAGTCGTTGAGACAGTGGAAACTACTCAATCCCAATTACTTGAATCGATGGCCGGTGCCACCTCTACAACTTCGAGAGTGCTCAGTCTAGCCAACCAAATCAGTACTGTCACGCAGCAAGACTAAAAATAATTACAGCCATCAATGTCATGTGGAGTTTGAAGCAGAACAAAAAGCGGCAACAATTACGCGCTGGAATATCAGAACTTTATTTCTTTGTAACACGCAAGTTGTGTTATTTTGGTGCAGTAAAAAATTGTGATCCAATACAGCCATTCAGCCTATCCAAATATATAGCACGCAATTCGTAAATTTATTACGCAAAATCTAAGTTAATCCGAATTCACTGCATACCGATAGAGCGTGCCTGTCATACGCATTCAATTCACGCCTTCTAGGAATTCCAGTCATCCTTAATTTCCTTCTCATTCCATCAGGATTCAGTCTGAGAATGAGAGCCGAGGCCAAGATGCATGAGCTCACATGATTTCAGTCTCATATTCACCTTTTCCAAGGAAAGGGAAGGAAGATGGAACGTTGGAACTCCCACATTATCAGTGGGGCGTTCATTTCTCTCCTTGCTTGCGGAACATTTTTAGGCCAACCCGTCAAACGCATCGAGATTCTCCGGCACTCCACTACGAACACTTAACTGCATGCTGACAATGACGACCCCATTGAAGATTCGTGACCGGACCCATGCAAATCAGAAACGGAAGTCCAGAAAGATTTGGGCATCTGATCGGTGTCAGGAGTTCATCCCCTCTGACCTTTTCTGTCATGGTCAAAGCGAAGCACCGACCAAAAAGCAATTCTAATCTCACTCTGACGAAAAGTTGAAAGCGGGCAATAACATGGAGCCGGAACGATACGACACTCATGCATGCATTATGCATGTCATGACACGGAGCAGTTGATGACCACCGAACTGTTGACCGTGTCGGAGTGCCGGAAAAGATGTTCCATTATCGGGAGAACAGATGGCTTCCAGGTAATTAAGTGAAATGTGCGTATTCGAATGAACTTTAACTTGTACTTCAAAATTACTGCGGCGGTGATTATTTCGGATGTGTATAGTTTGATACACCATTTGCAGACTCCAGCGCAAGATCCATATCCGTGAGTTGAATATTAAATACTGAACTTCCAAACCATGACAGTTGGTTTCACCAAGCGATAAAGCCTCTCATCCTATCGAATCTTGAATCCAATGCGTCTTTTCTACCTCCGGCAAACAATAAGTTCCACTTGCAACTTCATGTTTGACGGACTGACTCCAGTCTTCCCACTTACATCTAACTACACTTGCTAAAGAGAGGTAATAAACAAGTAAGGAAGAAAAATTAGTTGCACGTTACGCCCCCCCCCCCCGGTACGAAACATATTTTACTGGGTAGGCATGGGCTCGAAGATAAGGCTGATTTTGCGGAGGTCATGGCTCATAATTTCATAGAAATAACGGGATATGCATGGCTTTGAGATTACCGTTTGCTGGGAGCGTATACAATTTTCCCGAAAGACAAAAGCTTGAAGGCCAGGCAGGGCGAACTGCTGGGTTTTACACAGGTCTTGCATGGATATATTTATTTTCCGACATCATACAGCCAATTTGTTTGGCTGGGTAATGCGATCACTTAGCCTAGGCCTACGCCTCAAGGCCGAAACGACTAGGCCTAGGTCTTAATGTTTGGAAATTTCAGGAGAGGACGCCGTCACCTTCTTCTGCTGTTTTTCCCATGCAGGATCAAGGAGGCCTTCTCTCTCCCACTCCTCTTCCTGCTCCATGTAAGTCTCGGGGCCATCCACACTGTTCATCGCAATTT